TTTAGAAGTGCAATTCCCAACCCTGAGTTCGAACTCCGATCACCAATTTTATTTCTTGTAAAGAGAATGAAAAAACAGCGGTCTGAAAACCGGAATGTCTAACAAAAACTGGCGACGAGTTTAAGGCACAGAATATTAATCTCAATCATACCAATAAAGAAAAATTATAAATGAAACAGACGCATATATGCCCCTTTATTACAGGGTTTGTGACACAAGTTTTCATAATATGTAGATATGATTCTTTTTGATATTTTCGAATGTTATCATAGGCCTATGATTTCCACAGACGCCCCGGTGAAATTCTGATTGATTAAAACGCTAACAATGCGATAAAGCTGATCACTTCTCTTTGTACTGCGAAGCCCTTTATATTCGAGTAATCAAAGAACGCCCTACACAAAATCATTCATCTAAAATATGACTTTTTCGACTTTCATAATTTTCATTTCAAATACATTATTGCCTATAAAAGTTTTTGAATATACATAAACTAATACATATATATGTATAATAAAACTGAGGTTGAGACGTTTGTAAGTAAGTTTGTGTTTTGAGCAGTGTTGGCCTAGTGACTTCAGCATGCGACGCTTATCACAGAGGTTCGATCCCCAACTATACATTAATGTATTTTCTTCCTATGTGTGCCTTTAACATTCGCTCGAACGGTGAAGGAAAACAGCGTGAGAAAACCGGTTTGCCTTAGGCCCAAAAAGTCGATTGCGTGTGTCAGGCATAGGAGGCTGATCACCTACTTACCCATTAGATTGACAAATGATCGTGAAACAGATAAAGAAATCTGAGCTGGGCCTCACAAAAGGTTAAAGCGGACCTAAAAAGGTTGTAGCACCACTGGATCTTACACTTAATTTTAAGTTAATGAAAATAGTATAGTAGTAGACAGATATGTTTATTTCTCTTTTCTAAACCGGTTCTATTCCCGTTTGTAGTTTAATCTATACCAGCGCCATTAACGGTGAAAAATTATATGTAATTAATGATTTTATCACTGATTGGCTATATGTAAAGTAGTTCTGCATTTTACTGTTCATATCATCAAACCCTGATCTATTATCATAAATCTGTTTTAGTAATTAATTATTACAATCCTGTCCAGTATATATAAATAGAGCAGGTAAGCCGAGGTATTGATTAGCCGTGTGCGTGGTAGCAGCAACTGCCAGATGTCACCCCCCGCTGTGAAAATGATGAGTGCCGTGGATCTTAATCATTACTGCCCTTTGTTTTTAAAATAATACTTTTAAATATTTATAAACTTTTTATTTATATTTAAATTAGTCCTTACCGAATATCTTAATTTGAATTCGATTCATAAATACATTGTAAATTGAATAATGTTTGCTTTAATTTTATCCCCTAAAAGCATTAATAGTGCTTAAAGATATTATCAGCTAGGGGCTATTTGATTCGGGCATGGAGCAGATACGTTATTTGGTCAGTTTTCCATGTCTTCACGAAAAAATATATAATAGCATAATGCGCAGATAAAGTCGATATCAAAGTATGTAAAAATATGTTATAAATTAATATAAGAAATAATCTTAACGGCATAGATAGGATTTTCTACTTAAGCGCATTATAATCTTATAAAACATTAGTTTATAAGATTATGATTTTACACCTTTTTTGTATGAACATAAAAGGTATAAAAGCGTAAAAACTTACCCAATATAATGAATGTTTCTTTTAAACATTAATTTGTATTTTATTATAAGGTTTTTTTCAATATTATTTTTAAGATATGCCTACTTTAATAGAGTTAAATGTTGTCAATCTATTAACTTTGGTGAACAGAATTTATTTGAAAGATTGGGATGATTCGAAATTTAAACCGCGTTAGTATTTATAACCTTGTATTTATATGCTTATATAAAATTGTTTTATCGATTAAAAAGCAGTTTTTCCTGTATTAGTGCTATTCTTATTAAACTTCGATTATAGAGACAGAGGGGTTTATAGTTTCGTATTAACATATAATGCTATACGACGGACATTGACGTACCTTAATTAATGTAATTATTATCTACTTTGTGAATTTTATTCTATAGTTAATAAATTATTAAGTAAAGTTTCTTTATTAAAAAACATACAGTGCAACGGGCCGCCTATCTCTCCCAGGCAACCCGGCAAACATGAACAGGAAACAATTACTTAATTTATAGGCTGCTTTATACAATTTCTCGGTGTATTTAAAATAATATTGTTTTTTTTTATTTAATACTTAATTGAGTAACTCTCATAAGTCAGCTATCCAAAAAAAATGCAGGTGTAGAATTACCGCCTTCAAACTCCTCTTATGTTTATATTACAATATTGGTACCGGAAGGAAGCGATTCGCCGCGCACACGCCGCCACGTGACCACTTCCGCCGCTAATGCGATAATATAATAGGAGACATCGCCTATCCTCTCATAACATGACAGAGAACTTAATAAACTTATACTCTACGTATCGGTCGCCTTTGTTAATACATATATATATAATCAATTAATTATAGAAAATATTGCTTTTTCTTAATATTTCAATTTAGATTAGTATTACACAAAATTAAAAAAAAAACCCACACTAGCGGGAATCACATAATAATGATTAAAACTATAAAAATAGATTTCATATCGCGAATACACAGTGAAAATAATTATAATACAATTCTTTTATACTTATTACTTGCATACGTCTAACAATATACCATTGAAAATACCTAGCAATTATCAGTAAATCTACTCCCTACAAATCATAACATGAATAATGGGGTTATAAAACCATAATAGTAGTGATTAAATAAAATTTCCGAAGTAATCTTCATCAAATCCCTATAATATGGCATTATTATTTTTATCCAATCAATTACCTCGAAAGAATTTACCGTAAGCTACTTAAGTTGCAACCTGAAGTTTAATTTAGAATTACCTTTTATTACAACTAAGAAATTCTTTTTTAATAATTGTCATGAAATATAGAAATTCAATAGTAAGTATATGACGGTAAGGAACGAAATGCAAATAAAAATAGCTTCATTATATTCCGGTCGAAAATAAACAAGATAAAATTTATAAGAGAACATCAGTTTAGCAGAGGAATCCGTGGCCATAGATAAAAAAGGTTTTAAGAGTAAATGTAAGCCCCACTAACATGCCACGTCAAATACAAAGCGTATCTCCTACTTGATTAGAATCATATTTCTGGTTTCCTTTTGTTTTTGCATAACGGTAATCATATGATAGAGTCAGAACCAGTTTCGCCGGTTCCAGAAATAAAATCAAACAGCCCTTTCAACCTTATTTCTATATTCCGTTGTAGTCCAATGGTATAGAAATATAGAGACAGGTAAAATAACAAAAAATAATCTATTTAAGTGACAATATTGGAATAATAGGCGAGCGTTAAAATCAAAAAGACCTCATCGGCACTCGCGACTAGTCCGTAAGAGCACTTAACTTGATTACATATATTTGAAGGCCTGCTGGGATCGTAAAAAAATGTATAAACACTGATCGAATATGGATGCCGCCCTGACGCGTGGCATACCGTTCGCACTACACCAAACCGCTAGACACGCGACGATAATTTTAGCTTTAAGCAACAAAGTAAGTACAAAAGAACTGGAGTGAAATTAAACACAGTACAGAATAAAAGTATTACAGATTATTGTCATAAATTATGTAGATTATGTACACACAAATTACTTGTACTGTTATTCGGCCATTTAATTACAGTTTATTAATTCAGAATTGATTTAAACCAGAGACAAAGTAAAGATATGGAAGTGATTTGCAATCATAAATCTAAGAATAAACGGTATCATTAGAGATTTTGGTAGGTTACTGTACCTTATGATACGAAACTAATTACAATACAATAACGTTGGAAAAACGTTAAAATTATATTTTATGAACTTTCTAAGATATCTAATGGCATGCGTGTGATGTGTAAATGTGTGTCAATTTTATTATTTAAAACCATAAAATTCATATTACTTTTCATTAAATACTACTTTTTTATTACAAAGATTAGATAGCACACAAGTTCCTAAATCATAATACGTATAGAAAAGTGTGAGATATGTGATAAAATCGTATTTTTCTAGACGCTAAGTTTACATTTTAATTCAATTCATATAAACGTCTTTTATAAGTATATGAAATAAGTAGATTTATTTTTAAAAATAATTAAAAGTGATTGTCACACTCACTGGTGGTCACTAGACACTAGAAGTATTTATTTACAGGTACACGGAACCATAGACCTAAAAAGTCGACGGCGTGTGTTAGGCACTGGAGGCTGATCATCTACTTGCCTATTAGATTGACAAATGATCATGAAACAGATACATAAATCTGACGCCTAGACCTTAAAGGTTGTAGCGCCACTGATTTATTTTATTTAAAATTTTAAACATATGCTCATTTTCTATCATTGCATGGCATATACCGATATTTGTAAGACAGCGCTTTAGACTGTCTTTTATTAATATTTTAAATTAGCGTTTATACTACTTAAACCTGTATTTCAATAACTTTACCGATTACTAATTCTGTTTTAAGTCTGAGCCCATGTTGAAATCGTACATACCATTATTTGATTATTACTAGATTTAATGTCATTTCTCATAATATGTGAATTATATAAAACCTACTAAACTTAGCTACGTTTTAGGTAGGTACCTAACAGGTCTGCCTTTTTCCAGTATACATGGCTGTGTCTGTGCGTATGCTTAATATGTTGTTGAAGACATAGTACAGCCTCGAAAACTAAACTATGTGAATGAAGTGAACAATTTGTCTGATGTTCTGATTGCAAATGATCCAAATTTAAAATTATTGCTCGTAAGATAATTTATGCACGCATTTGAAAATCATGAAGTTATTAAAAAATTAAGTTCATAACAATTATTATCAACTTAGCGGTGCTTTGACCATGCATTATTTTTATAATATAGAATTTTTAGATTTACTGATTCCCATATAAATAACAAAATTTTAAACACAAGGAACTGTAACATCGTAATTACCTTCGAGAGCCTTGTTTCTAGCCAATAAAGCAAGTAAGACATCTGGAGGCGGTGGGTCCAACGGATGCATAACCTCCAAAGATGCGGCCATAGAAACGTCCCGCGCTCGTTCAGCACCCACTTCACAAAATCCCGTATCCATGAAACCACCATACACTACGTCCAAATATCATCGAGTAAAAAATCCGCTGTGTTGTTCACCATTCCGCGTGGAAAGCGTTCACAAGCACCTGAAGCACTTGGAAACAGGCGTCGATCGCGACAGAAAAGCCGGGCCCACGTGGCGGCGCCGCCCACGCCCGCCCATGCGTCGCGCTCGCTACGCCGCCCTCCCATTGAGAAGTCATTTTTCACCCCCCTGAATCTGATAAACCCTCGGGTGAGGGCTGCGGGGCTCCCCCGCCCCGAACTAATTTTCCCGAATCGCACGACACACCCCCGAAGCTTACATCCATCTACAATATTACTACACGTTATCCCGTTCGCGAGGGCATTTTGTTTCTATTCAACTGGCTTTGCTGGGTTTTATAAAGAAAATAATTTTTAAATTTCTTATTTTTGATATGCCAAATGATAGATAATTTATAAACTATATAGTTAGAGCTATATTTATAAAAACAAACTATTATTGGAATGGTGTGAAAAAATAAATAACATTATAGAATATGTACAGTATTAATCACAAATTTATCCAATGGCTTATCGTCTACATAGCTAGGCAATTTGTCGCTCTAATACACTCGCCACTCGCCAGAAATGCAATTATAAATTTGCGGATTTATCGAGAGACCAAGACCTCAACTTATTTCTCTACTTCTATTCACGTTACTTACTACTATCGTATAACAACAATTTTTAGTCTCTTTAATTTTCTCCGACACTAATCATAAATTACATACTGAATTTTGTTTTGTGATCAGGATGAGAAATTATGCTAAATTTAAATATACCAACGTATTAAAATTTTGAAAAATCGATTTCAATTCACTAGTTCTAGCAAAATTTAGGTTGACGCTAAATTGTAAAGGATGTAAACAAGTGCTAATGATCAATATTTATTTATAAATAATAAGAAGTAATTAATTTATTCTTCAGGAAACACTTATAATAAAAAAAAAATGTATTGTTAAATAAGAACCTCATACGTTTTACAAATAACAATTGACAGTATTGTTAAAGAAATCAAACTTTTGTGGAAAAAGTGTCAAGAATGTCATTGAAAATGAAGGCTTATCCTGCCTTATCATATTTTTATTACCAGTTCTTATATTGATAATTGCTATTAAATATTTATAAAATATTTTTTAATTATTTATAAAAAGCATGTACGGATGTAATTTTTATAATTTAGACAATGTATTTAAACAGTTTAAAGTAGTAGAATTTCCAATATCATTTGTTGGACTATCCACGTCACAAGTACTTGATGTTGAAAATGATTTGAACACTTGTACTTATTTAAAAACCATATATGATGGAAATCTCATTGTAAGTAAAATTTTCACAACTCATATTAAAAGATCGCTATATAAATATAAATATTTCGAAGTTTCTAAAAAGCATATCAGATAAGAAATAACGTTTAAATTATAGATACTTGGTATTTATATTTTCAGAAATTTGATGAAGCTCGTGAAATATCAGCTTCGCATAGAGCTTTTACTGTCGTTCAAAAAGATGAACATTTAATAGAAATTACATTTACACCAACAACTGAATGTATATCGAAAGCCAAAAGAAGCAAACAATTCGATAACCGTTTTGTGTTTGATTTACGTTTAATAAGAGTAGATGGAAGCCGTTGTTGCTATAATGAACTACATTCAGAAATAGGAAGGTACTATATTAGTGGTCAATTCGAATATTCAAAAATAAGTCATACTCCAGAAGTTGTCGACTTTGGTGATACCATAATTAATATTCGAACGACTAAAAAAATAAGAATCTGGAATGAATCTAATCTAATGACTTCTAACATGAGGTATGTTAGAGTAACTGGGTTTGAAGTAACTCCATATAAATTCAGCGTGCCGCCCAATTCTTCAAAAAAAGTGACTATTTCAATAAAACCTACGTGCTTGAAATTAGGAAATAAAATTACATTTGAAATAAGAAATCCACACGATAGTTGTTCTGACAAAGCTGAAGAATATGATGACCTCGATACAAATTTCTTGACGTATACAATAAAATTTAATATGATTGTTAGGTACCAAAAAAAGAGAACAAATAACACAAAAATTGAATCGATGCACAAGTTAAATTGTCTAAATCCACAGTATACATATGTAGGCAATGAATTAAAAACTCACATGGCTCGGAAAGAAGTGGCCTTTAAATTTTTAGAAGTCTCCAAATCTTCCTACGCTAAGAAACCAGTATTTGAAAAATATTGTTCGGGTAATGAACAATGTTATTCAGTAACAGAAGTACGACCAGTTGATAGAGGTGCAAACTTCTGTAAAAAGATTCCGGAGAAGATATCAACGTATGACTTATTTAATATAATTTTCACCCCATACTGCTTAAACTTTGGGCGAGTTGGTTTATTGACATATGGAGAACACGAACTTGTTTTACAAAATAATACTAAACATGAATTCATCATAGAATTCCTAAAAGATAAATGTGTACTATATGAAGAAGATAACAAGAAAACCCTAAAAATGAAAATGCGACCTTATGATGAAAAAAAGATTACTATATTTTGTTTGGGCTCGATAGAAGGCATTTCATCAGGCACGTTTGAGTACATAATTGATAAAAAATATTATAGAAAACATCCTTACAGTCTTGAAGTCGGAAATCCAGCCCTAATGTTGTATGATAAATCTCTTAAATTTGGCATGGTTAGTGCTGAAAGTTTTATTACGTCTGTACCAATAAAAATATTCAACCATTATAATTTACCAGTTAATTTTAAATGGGATGAACTACATTCAGATATTCCTTTTGAAATAAAACCTACCACAGGTACAATACCGAAACATTCTTGTAAGATTTGCGATGTGACTTACGTATGCAAAGCTACAAAAACAAAAACACACGAAGTTGAGCTTATATCAGAGGGAAGAGTTCCAAAAAATATTCCTATAGAGTTAAGCGTAATAACTCGAAAACTGACTATAAAATTTTTACAGCTAGCTATTGTCTTTAAAGATATTTCATTAAACTTAGAAACCACAGAAAAAGTAAAATTAGAAAATTCTTCGAGAGAAATAGCTTTATTTCATGTCGTTGAACCCTTAATTCCAGGTTTTAAAATAGAACCTATGTGTGGAATTATTCGACCAAAAATGATTATTACTTTCGAAATAAGCGTTAAAATTCCATGCATTTTGGAATTCGCATTTGATATCCTTTTAAAAATTAATAATAAAGAAAATGTTATTCTTCCTGTAAGTGGAAATGTCATGGAACCAAAAATTTTAATTCATCCGAAAAATATTATCATGTCGAGAGTTCCGTGTAATATGATCACGTATGTTCCTATAACATTTCAAAACTTAAGCAGTTTAAAAACTGTGGTTTCAATACTGGACACGGGAGATGAGAATATATTCAATGTGTATCAGGCCGTAGGAAATGAGAGGCAGCAGATATTTGAGTTTACTATAGAAGGTGGACAGTCAAAAACAGTATTTATTAAAGTTTTTGATATATTCAGAAGAGAATATGAAATGTTTATACCTTTCAAAGTAAATGGACTATTAGGGCCTCCTTGTGAAGACGAATCATCGACTGAACTACAATATTACATTGGTGAATATGAGAAGTGAGTTAAATATTTATCTGCTAAAAATTTAATACTTACATATTTTAATTCTCCAACTGACTTTATTTTAGGTTTTACGAAAATAATTCTAAAGTGAAACTGAAGCCTATGAATAAAGATATTGCCTACTGTCGCTTAACAGGAGTTATCACAGTTCCATGGATAGATTTCTCAGTTGATAAGTTTGAACTAAGTTGCGGTGTAAATAAAATCGACAGCTTACAGTTTACAATGACAAACGTATCGAAGTACAACTTATACATTACTATATTAACATCTAAATTGGCTCCGATGTTTACTCTGGATTTAATTACTGAAGAAAGTCAATCTATAATTAACGAAACACATATAAAATTTGAACTTGATCGAGGAATGATTGCGAAATTTACTGTAGTGTTTCAACCAAAAAGCCATGGTCGATTCGTGTCTACAGCGTTACTATATTTAGACAAGCAAATGACTATACCCTACTATAATTTGACATTCATTGGGAAAAAACAAAATCCTGCTATGATTCCAAGTAGCCCTCGACTTATTTTTCCACCATGTTATCCAGGCCAAGAAATCACACAAACAATAACACTTCGAATAGAAACAAAATCTAGCTTAGAGGATTTTACTTGTAGCTCAAAGGAAGAATCTCATTTAACCGTGTCGCTTTTGGAATCAGAAGTAATTTTAGAAGACGATTTAGTTTTTACCACAGTAAGAGTCAATTTGTCAGTATCTTGCAAAATATCTTATGCTCGAAACATGACAATACATTTTAATCATGTAACTGGTTCTTGTTGTGATATAGAAGTAAACTTTTGCTTCACGTACTGCCCGCTTACCTTGCATACAAACTGGCTGGTAACACCAAGTGAAAATCCATATCCACTATATCCCGAGAAAAATCAACATGAACTGTATGAATACATGGAGTCGTGTACAATTTTTCTTGAAAAATGGATGTTTCAGCAAGGTTTCAGACGAGATCTTTATCCTATTATTCCTGATACATTCCATGCTATCTCCACAGCCCTATCATCTCAGGGTGGAGGTACAAAAAGTAAAGGAATCAATGTATCATATTTAAACTTTGTAAAGAGAATTGCAGGACCGTTGATGAAACATGTTCGAAAAGTAACGTAAGAATAATATATAATATACGCATATCATTTTCTGAAGTTAAATAAGTTGTAAGTATCTTTGTAATGTTTGTTTTTTCAGAATAACGGGTGTAGATGAAACATACAAAAATGTAAAAGAAATTCATGATACATATAAAGAAGTGATAGGATTACTGAGATCCCGTGGTGCTAATCTATGGGGTTTGCAAGCCAAATTTCTTTTAAGTCACGAGCAGTTTTTAATTTATTCTGATAATGTTACACCAAAAGGCAATGCAGACATTATTCTGAATGAGGAGTTGAAATCAGATATAAATCTTTTTAACCGGATAAATAAACAAAGTTGGATTGATTTTATTTTACAAAGTTATAAGGTGTTCGTTATGGATAGTTGCTTTTTCGATTGCGTCTGCGTTAGTGGGCAACCTAGAGATGTAGTTAAAGTTCTGATTGACTGGTATAATGAAAATATCTTATATCAGCATGGGATCCTTCGAGGCAAACAAAAACCTGTAAAAACCATTACAAATATAACGACTGATTTATCTGATGGTATCGCCATAATATCATCAATTTTGACATTTTGCCCTTTTACGGCTAATCATTTTTCATTTTATTGTGAGATAAATAATAATGAAACAGAAGGCTGTATAACAAACAATGCTTGCCTAATTATCGAGGCTCTAAATTTGTTGCGGTTATATTTTCCATTATGTAGTAAGGATTTCTTGGAACCAAATTTTCTCCTCATGCTTTTTTTATCAATTCATTTATATGTCACTCTACCGATGTTTAAGCCAAAAAATACAGTCCATTTTTACCCACCACTATTAAGAAGTTCTACACGACAATTGGCCATAAGTCCTACTAGCCAAGAATCCCTGATTTTTAACCACATCATTCTCCAAAACACCAAAAATAATTTTATGGTAGAAAAAATAACATCACCTGACAATGGAAAGAAGATGTTTTTAAGCGTCAAATATAACGCAAACTTCGTAGAAAAAGAAACAGCAATCCTGCTTGTACATGGTTATAATAAAACGAGAATCTTTGATACGTACTTAGTATTTGTACTTCATGGTTACATTGGTTCACTGAATCCTGTAAGAAAGTGTAAAGTAACGGGACCATTATATCGTCCAAATCGCGCCGATGTGTTAGTTGCATCACCTTTTTCTGTTACTGCTAATTTTAACGTATTTTTAACCGATATTGAACCAACAATTCCAGTAGAATTTCCAGATGATATTAAGCCAAGATTTTATTTAAGGCGCCTTAATCTAATAGACAAAGAGGTTTCTTTGACTGGATTGCCAAAGGAATCTGGCCAAGATGTGCAGGAGCACAAGCTTTTTCTTCAAATAATTTGTCTCAGTACGCAAATGGGAAATTCATGGATTTGGTTTCGAAGTGACATTGGTGAATTTTTTATTAAAGTAACTACTCAAGCAAGATGGGATCTAGCAATAGATACTTTACAGGCAAAAGTAAAAACGTGGCCGATGGATCCTTGTAGTTGTGGCGAGTCGTGCGAATGCTACAGAACAACAGTATTAACAATCCCTCATCGGAATGAACTAATGCTAAAATCTTTAAGATATGCTCTTCTTGAGCATACGTCAGAAACAATGATGCAAGTATTTGACCAACTTATTGGTATGTATTTTTTATCATCCTTATCTGAGATTAATGTGACTATTAAAATTTTAGGCAAAAAATAACAAACTGTAGTGATGCTGTAATATAGTTTTTAAAATAGTTAAATTACTTATGTCCAAAAGTCAAATGGTTAGGTTTTTGTATCGGTTTATTATTAGAAAAGTTATCAAGTATCAAGAGTAAAAAAAAGTCAAAATAAGAAAATATTATCCGATGCCCTTGACTTTGTTCATCTAATGATTACAAATTAAGACAAAAAATAGTATTTTTTATCTAAAGCCTATGTTAAAACTATATTTTTTATATTGCATACGTACCTTGTTTTTTCTAAATAAGTATAGATTTATAATAAAAAACAAAGAAATAATAGAACATACACCGAGATTTTTCTCGGTCTTTTTCTAATTCTAAGTCTTTAATTTATTTATTTTTCTAAGTCTTTATTTACTTAAAATCTCATCTATGTGTTTACAAAATATAAACGCTTATGTATGGATATAAGTATAATTAAGAATAAATATGAAATTAGAATGGGCTAGAAATTTTATCATTATAGAGTCTGATAACAGAGTAATTTTTACATTACAGAAACAGGAACTGGCAAGATAATATTGAGTATGTTGTTGAGTGAAGGCGGGACTAATTTATCGGAAGTGCAACACATATTACGCAGTGAAAGTATTTATCGTATATCATCCCGTGCTCTGTTGCCACGTATTGATCGTGTGACATTACAACAGCATACAAACTCAATTCTAATCTTACCTATCACCATACCAGCTCAGGACAAATCAGAGAAGTACACAGTCACTTTAACCTCCGAATGTGGAATGGACATACGTACCTATAGAATTCTGTTTGTCGAAAACTCGAACGAATTCGTTTGAATTTTTTGCACTTAGTAGGTGACGAATGCGGCACTATTCTAGCGTAAATAATTCGTTGTGTTGTGGTGGGAAATTAGATTTTTAACCTTGATATTGCATTTTGAATTGCCAATTTCCCGAATCTAAATATTGTAAACTGCATAGCATAAGTCACGATTACTTCTATACTTAGTTATTACAATTATACTTATTTTTTGATATCAAATAAAATACCGGTTTTACATGTTTTGTTATCACGTCTATATATTATAAAGCATACAAGGGAGTAATATGTCTTTCAGAGCTATGTTAACTTTCTTAAAAATTTAAGCAAAATCATTACATTTTTTTATAACTCCATCCAAAAAGGGCCTAAGGCGCTGAAGTAGTGACTAGACTTATAAAATTATTAAATTGTTCTAATGTTATTCTAAAACCTCTTAGTAACCTGAATATAAATAAAAATCAAATAGCCAGCATGTTTTAGTTGTATGTATTCCTTATTAACTTAAATTTGCGAAGGAAATAAGAAGTTCTGCTAAGCACAACTACCTTGACCAAGCCACTTAGTACGCTCCACCGAGCGGTACTTTTAATGTTATTAAAAAGGCCTATTCCACGATAGCTTCGGTTTTTAGGTTGCACGAATGCAAAACAATGAAGTGCCGAAATTAATGTTACAAATATCTTTATGGACCGAACATATCATTTAAAATAGTGATAATAAGTATCAGTTTTGTCACATACATGCCTTCAATTTTCATAAAGCCTTTAAAAATGGTCTTGTAACATTTAGGCAATAAATATTCCTTTAACAAAGTGATTACATAAATTTAAAAAAAATACGTTTTTATAAATTATAATACCGTGATCCCGGATATAGACTTTCAATTCTATATTTTTTTATAAACTGTGGTAATAAAAAAATCGCTTGGGAATCAAACGTCATAAAAAGCGAACGGTGCTCGCGCGCGTTGTCGACATATAAATCCTCCACTCGTGAAAGATCGAGACCATTGTCTTGTTATTCGTCCCATCCTCAGGTGCCTTCTTAGCTCGTGACCTACAATAATACTTCTCGGAATTAAGATTTTTGTGTTCATGTGTAGTTATCATGGATTCCCAGCAGTTTCGAGAGTATGGGAAGGCAGCCATCGACTTTATAGCTGATTTTTATGACAATATTAGAGAAAAGTAAGTATTTTGTTTACTTTTAAATTAATTTTTAAATTATACTTCCTTTACAATAATTTTTAATGATGTCTGACGGTAAAAGTAGCGTTGTCTACTTTTTCTCTCCAAAAAACGTAATCGAACCTTTATGAATTATTTAATACGTCCGCGTTTATATTTAAAAAATCATGACATTGGAATAGTATTTAATGGTAAACTACATAAGATTCCTTAAATCTTGAGTAAAAGTACCATTAATTTCATTTTCATTTTAGTTTCAAATTATTGGCTGAAATAATAATTGTGTTTAAGTACTTAAAACTTACTTAATTTTAATTATTCATTAAGTGATTATATACTAAACTAAAAAATGCAATTATGTTTTGTGCTATCGATGAACAGAATCAACGAAAATAAAGATCGATTCGATTTAATAAAAATAGATTGTAATCATCACAATAATAGGCTACGTATAATTTTCAAAGTATCATCACTGACCACTGTTATTGATGCAAATAATAAGTCTTATGATTGTAGGAACCTGGCTTCCATGCTAATCAATTGACCTATTGCATGTTTCCTTAAACGCAATATTTAATTGTCTCTTATTGTGAATATTTCATAACAATTTTTCTTGTAACATCTGCTTAATCACTACATATGAATTATCTTAGTTTATCGCAGTTTTTGATTCCATAACAAAAGTACAGATGATTTTACTTGTGTTTACTATGTTTAGTCCAGTAGTTTCTACTTGCGGAGGAATTTACATACTTTGGAAGGCACAAAATGCTCGACTTCTTATCAACTTTAACGTTTTTATTTTATAATTTACGTACAAATAATTAAAATGAATCCGTAACATAAAAACGGCATTAGTACTGAGAGGTACTTCTTCACCAAACGTACGATTGATTTTATCAATTGCTTTAGCTATCAGTGCAGCATATTAAATTCATATCAATAAATGTTCTTTAAAACGAGTTTTAATTATAGAGACGTTCTGCCTTCGGTAGAGCCAGGGTACCTTATTAAAAAGTTACCAGAGGATGCACCGGAAGAGCCCGAGGACTGGAAAGCTGTTTTCAAAGATTTTACTGACAACATCGTGCCTGGGGTAAGAATTTCATTTGCACATCATGACAGCGGTAAACTTTGATGTGTTCCACTGGATTTTTTGGAACAAATTGTACCATGACTAGGTTACACTATTTCAGCTAGCAATAGAATAATTGATTCGGGTTAGAGAATACAAGAGCCTCTTCACCTTTTAGTTAATTCGACATGATTAACGATATTGTCGCCGAAATGTATGCCCATACGAGAACCTCATTAAAGGGTTACGTTTTAACCTTCGTAGCTTAAATATGTGGCTCAATGTCTGGTAAATTGCATATTTTACCTTTTTAGTACAACAAAGACTCCTGGAGCTTTTAACTATGAAATTGATATGGTAACCAGTAACATCAGAGATGTTACTGTTGTGTTCCATTACCGGTGTCTATATCGATTATAACCATCGGTGTATAACCCGGAGCGAAAGGTAGCCGTCCTGGGTCTGATTTCCTTCGTAAATAGTGAGGGACTTTGAGAGGTTATGGGACCTCAAATACTATATCTTTTCCATATTATAGATAAACATTGTGATAATTACAGGTAACGCGATGGCAGTCTCCACAATTTCACGCTTACTATCCTACTGGAACGTCTTTCGCCAGTATTGTTGGTAGCCTTCTTTGCGATGGCTTAGGGGTAGTAGGAATCACTTGGGTATGTAATGTTGTCCTAATTTGTTTTATATTAAAGCCGAATATTAATATCCGATATCTGTAGATTTTGAACAATCAAATACCAAGAAAAGTCTTAGCTCGATTGCTCAAGCGTTGATGTAGGTATGATCCCAGCAATATAATAATTATTGCTTTTTATTCCATTAAAGGACGAGCAGTTGTTAGTCTATTAAAAGCGACATCTTATTGAAAAGTTACAAGGCAACACATATTATAATACATAGTGTAGTAATACCTACAGTATTCGGGGATACAAATCAGTATCTATCTTTGGCCTTAGGTTGGAGGAAGAAACTTCCTTACATTACAATAAAAATTTGGTCTTATGTTTTTCAGATGGCCAGTCCAGCCTGTACGGAGTTGGAGGTCGTCACAATGAACTGGTTTGGAAAACTTCTGGGTTTACCCGAAGAATTTCTCAACAGCTCCCCTGGACCAGGAGGCGGTGTTATCCAGGTATTTGTTTTAAACGACTATTTTCGTGAAGTCACAATTTTGCTTCTCTGACGAAAGTTGAAGATCTAATATAACTTTTTATTATTTGAACCTCAATTTTTCAACCTCAACAAAAAAATTTCGAATAAAAAATACATTTAATACTGTTATATTTTGACAAGAACATGACTGAAAAAATAAAAGATCTTCCTTATCGTAAAAAATCCTTTACAGGGCTCCGCAAGTGAAGCAACGCTAGTTTGTTTACTGGCTGCCAAAGATAAAATGATTCGCAGATTGCAGAAATTAAATCCTGATTTAGATGAAGACCTCACCAAAATAAAATTTGTAGCATATACCTCCGATCAGTGCAATTCATCTGTGGAAAAGTCTGGAGTTCTAGGCTCAATGAAAATGAGACTACTAAAAGCGGATTCGAGTGGCAGATTGCGTGGAGAAACACTTAAAAGAGCATTCGAAGAGGATAAGGCCAAAGGTCTTATCCCGTGCTATGTTGTAGCTAATCTGGGTACGACTGGGACTTGCGCATTTGACCCACTATATGAATTGGGACCAGTTTGTCAAAAAAATGATGTTTGGTTACACGTCGATGCAGCCTACGCTGGAGCAGCTTTTATATGTCCTGAATACAGACATTTAATGAAAGGTGTTGAATACGCAGATTCTTTTGATATCAATGCACATAAATGGTTGCTCGTAAATTTCGATTGTTCTGCAATGTGGGTCAAAGATGGATATGACCTTATTAACGCGTTCGATGTTCAAAGAATTTACCTAGAAGATGTTAAAGGGGATTTAAAAATTCCAGATTACCGTCACTGGCAGATGCCATTGGGTCGACGGTTTAGATCGTTAAAACTGTGGTCGGTTCTTAAAATATATGGCGCTGAGGGATTACGAAGACACATTAGAGGTCAGATTAGCCTTGCTCAACACTTTACTAAATTGGTTCAAGCTGATAATAGATTTATAGTTGAGCCAGAACCAGCTATGGGATTGGTGTGCTTCAGACTGGTTGAAGGCGACTATCTCACCAAGAAGTTACTCGAAAACTTAATTGAAAAAAAACAAATCTTTATGGTAGGCGCTTCTTGTAAAGGCCGCTTTATAATACGCATGGTTATTTGCTCCCAATTTACTACAGTGCAAGATGTTGAAGTAAGCTGGAAGCTGGTAAAAGACGAAGCCGATAATATAGTTAATTCAGATAGATTACATTCTAAATCTCAATCAATTGCGTCTATTGATCACTTGCAAAATATAGATATCTGTGAGAAATCCAAATAAGTTTAGGGTTAGTAAGTTTAAATGGAGGTTGAAATGCGATGAAACTTAATTGTACATATTATCTATGCATACAATAAATATGAATTCAAACCAAACCAATCTAGATATGTTTTATTGCAAAAAAGTATTCTTTCAATTATTTATCTTATAAATATGAGTTGTTTTAATTGTTATAACTATACAAAATTTTACAATAAACATCTAAATACAACTACATTTTCCACTGACACAAATCCCGTACGAGTAACCTTTGGGTAAGCAATGTTCCTGGCAGACCACGTCCTCTGATGGTTCTTCGGATCCTTTATCATACTTGCATAGAACCTGGCCTGGTATAGTGACTACTGGAAAATAAATTAAATTATTTAAATTTAAAAACTTTACATCAGCCCTCAGGGAACTAGACAGCCAGCCTTGCTTCTTACAGAGCTGTGATGACTCATTAGACATGACTTGCATGATACTCTAGAAAGTAACCAATAATTATATAAATTAACCTTGCGTGCTTTAAAATAAATATGTTTAAATATTATCACCTCATAGTTCAAGGAACGTAAGTTGCCAGACAATGCGTAATCTCTCGTTCATTAAATTTTTAGCCACAGTTTTTACGTATACATAAGATTTATCCAAACCAGTTATACGCTTTTTCCATTATTAAAGTCGTAACTACGGTTCGATACGTTATATGTAAATAAAGTGGAAGGAATTTTATTCACAAAGCCATTTAGGTACATATGAACGTTCAACTTTAAATACTGCCAAAAATAGCTAAGAGAAAGTTGACGTTTATAAACGAATCATCGCTCCATAAGAAATTTACAAACAAAAGACAAATCGAATTATTTATCTTAATGAAACCTTATAAAACAATATATCAACACATACCACTTTCCTTAGTAGGCTCTTTGTCTTTTAGTAAATTTGTTTCCGGAATTCCAGATACAGCATCTGTTTTCAACACGCTGCTATCCCTCGGCATTGCTTTCACGTTATACATGCATATAACGGACACAGCAAAGAACAAGTAAAACTTAAAATGCATTTTAAAAACTAACAGAACTAGCCAAACGTGTTGCAACCCGCGCTTACTAACACGTAATGAGAAATACTAAAGCACAATAGGTAATTTTAATACACAATTATTGTTAATTAATGACGAATACAAAATGAGACTGCATGTTAGTATTAAGGTCAAGCAGTCAGCGGCTCTTCTTATAATATACTTAAACGTATTTAGTTGGTAAACAATTACGCGTAAATTACCAATGACTAATATCCTAGTGACATTATGCCAATCAGCAATATCAATAAACACTTTTAATATACCATTTCTTAATATATTGTTATCTCTTAATTTTGTTTAATTAAGAGAGAAAGTATTTGTATTCAACAAATTAAAAATATACTACATATAAATAGATAATATGTTACCTACATTAGTTAGTTATTTCGACTTCGACCCACGAGAATGTAAGTGCGTGCTCCTATACCTCCTACTGATGGAGGACAAATTTTTGTTTTTAATTTTTGACTTGACAAAAACTTGTCGATTAAAAAGAGTGGCGGAGTGCCAGTTTTTCTCTTTCGCTCTACGCCCTTGATTTGAGAACTGACAGTAAATGTAAAATTAGAAGCATTTCATATATATTTATTTTTTCACGTTCATAAGTGTACATTTTGTTACCCATATAAATAAATGATTTTTGAATTAGCGTTTAAATACATATTGTGTAGATGACTAAGTATAAAGAGGATGTTGCCTTTGAATGAAATCCTAATAAGTAATACAATTACTTTTTATTTTCGAATCGCGATATCCCATTCTTATGGGTGACGCATTTTACAGATAAGAAATAAGTACTTAGGTAAATCTCTGCGTAACTTACCTTATATACACAAGTATCTTGATCTACCTACTTAAATACGGTTATGTATTCATATGTTTATGCCCGAGTCATTTAAATAGTAGGTATACGAAATAATCGTATTTCCACAAAGTCTTTTATAAACAGGTATTAAAATATAAATTTTCTATAAGTAACGAACAAATTTAGAACTTCCATGTGACTTTTCATACCAATACAATATAGGTACTAAGATCTCATACGCAGAAGATTGTCGTCGATAGTCGTTAGTCTTTTGATATGGAAACCACTCAAAATACTTATGAAAAATATATTTAATGAAGAAATAAAAAGGTGCAATGAATAAGAAAGCAATTGTAATTGATATAAAATTAAAAAAACATTTTATTGATTTACGTTCAAATTGAGCCTATCAGCTAGTTTGTACAACAAGAATAGTGTTGGCCTAGTGGCTTGATATTGCACCTATCTTCTTAGGTTGGAGGTTCGATACTTTGCTGTACACCAATGGTTGCTTTCCAAATCCACATTTAACACTCGCTCGTATGCTTAAGGAAAACATAGTGAGGAATCCGGTATACCTAAGACCCAGAATGTTGGGGGCGTGTGTCAGCATAGACGGCTGATCATCAATTTGCCTATTTAAAAAAGTTTTTGAAACAGATACAGAAATCAGAGGCCAAGACCAAGGAAAACATTATAGTAATGTGATGTAAATAGGCTGTATATTATAGCAATGAAATATATAGATACCTATGTACTATTATTATAAAGCTAGAGTATGTTTATTTAGCTAAATAATTTTTATTGATTTGATTATTAATATTTTTACAGTAAATTATTATTGTTATTTTTTATTTTTATGTTACTGGCCCGATTTTTTTTATATTGTCAAACTATCGAGGTTATATGCAACGTCCAGATTTGAGCATAAATAAAAATATTGTCGTAACGGGAAAAATATTTTATATAACTATATTTTTCGACGACGAAAGAACGAAAAAAACATTAATTAAAAAACAAGCAATAATCGGTGGCAAATACACTACTTGTTTTATACATAGTAAAAAGCGCTTCATGGTTTATATTCATAGATAAAAAATGTTGACGGTTGATATTCGACGGTAGAACAAAACTGCCAACTAACATAAATAAAAACACGACGAACATCCATGCTAATGCCTTAAAAGGAGATATTCTTTTACTTTATTCCTCCGTTAGAAATAAAAGGACTAACAAAAGGAAAAAAGAAATATGAGTTTGAAATTTTTGTTGATTTTATAATTATTAACAACATTTAACATCAGAATGAGAAGGAATGGCTTACAAATATAGCCAAATATTGCGGAATACTGAAGGCGGTTGGGCATGTTGAAATTGACTTGCTTATTTTGATTTTGTTGTCGAACTTCAATTGTATGCGTGACTGTCAGTGTCACTGTCACTAGTCAGTTATCAGGTTATCGATATATATCACCTTCACCGATAAATTACAAATGCATAAGTTTATTGCTATTAAAAATTGTTTTTTATTTGTAAATTATACGGTAGTCGCATGTTTTTAATTTTCTTATAATTAATACCAATTAAGTAGTTTTTTTTTTCATAAAGTCATGGTGTACCTGCATTTTCCTTCTAATCTCACTGAAGAAGAGTTGATGTTACATGCAAAGTACCAGAAATTAAAGAAAAAGAAGAAAGCCCTTCAGGCGCTTAAAGCTCCTAAGCAGGAACCCGAGAAACCTGTATTACCAAAACGTCCGACAGAAGCTAGAGACGCCAGAGAAATAGCACGAAAACTTATTAAAAGTGGTGCCATTCCAGCCATTAAAAGTCCACCACCGCAACCTCAAAATGCTACCTTCAAACGCCCTCGAGCTGGTATTTTTTTTTTTCTTAATAGGTACTATTATAGTCTGAGTATGAAAAAGTTGCCATGATGGTCAACAAAGCTGCTCCAATTGTCAAATTTTTAGGTATTTTTAAAATAATAGTACAATCTAGAGTAAAATATGAAAATGTTGATGTTTAAACTAGACTCAAATGACAATGGTTTTGTGTCATAGTCCACTTACCAGCATAATTTTATGTATGTTTTAAGAAAAATATTTAAAGATACCTTTATTCTTGAATTTATTACTTATATTTACCATAATTCTAACAAGGGAGAGAACGAAAACTAAGTGGTTCAACAGGAGGAACTGGTGGTGTTGCATCATATCAACCATTTAGTGCTTCTCAAGAACCTCCACCACCTGAAGAAAAACCAACACCTCGAGTCAAATACCTTTATGACTCATTTGTTACTGCTAGAGAGAAGTAAGTTTTATCTTAAATAAGATAAAAAAACTCTATTAAAAGTTATTTATATATGCTTATTTTTTTTAGGGATGACAAAGGAACTAGAACTCAAGGTGGAGGTGATGCTCCTAATACAGGAAATAAAACAAATTATCTGCAGATTACTGGTACTAATATCACTGAAGAAGTTCTGAGACGTCGCTTGGCATCATTTGAACCTTTTTCATTTATTCAAGAAACTGACGATGATAAGTATGTAAAGCCCAAATTAGTAACTGTGTATTTATATAAGATATAAATTTAACATTAGGTACCTATTGATAAAATAACATGTCTTAACACCATAGCTTATACGAAGCCTTAACCTTAATGATAATTGTGATTTTTCAGAGTATTTCTTTCATTTGATAATGCAGACATGGCAAACCAAGCCCAGATTGCTCTTGATGGAAATGAGGAAGGCTGGCGAACTACATTTGCAAGGAGACCACCTCCATCAAAGGGAAACTGGAATTCAACATCTGCATCTCGCAATCAACCACCACCTAAAGATTTTAAGAGATCTCTTGTAACATATGATGATATTTTTGAATAATGTACTGTTTTATCATTATTGACATGAATTTTTCATAGAAATGTTATTTTGAATTAGTTCCAGTTAACATTCACACTAGAAAGCTTAGGTGGTGTAAGGTAAGAAGACAAACAGACAGTATGTAGGTTAAAATTCAGAGTCAAGACTGTGCTCACTTTCTATCTCATGTTTCTGAATCTTATTCTAACTGCACCATAAGAATTAAAGTAAACCATGCTATAAGAGCTCTATTGGAGAATTCATAAAAATAGGACCACATCCATTTTCACATATTTTATTTAAATAAACCAAAGACTTTTATAAAAGAAAATGAAATCAAAATGAAGATATAGAATACTTGATTAACGAAATCTGTACTAAAACATGTAATAAAACTTTGAACCCTATCATTTTTGTATGTCCTAAAATTTTTAGGGTTGTTTGATGGGTTTGTATTCAGTATAATTACAAGTGCCGTCTTAAGCTAGAAAGGGTTTTAAAATATGTGAAACCTATCTTCATGTGACCATATGAGGTTATGCTTATATAATTTTGTGTTTATCATTTTAATTGTGTCCTACGATTTAAGCCATGTGCGGAATTCCATTTTGAAACTGAGATATTTAAAAAGATGGACCTACCAAGTTTACCATTGTCTTGTATCATGTCAATTTTTTATATTAAATTATTAATTTTACATAAGTTGCAATATGTGGAGTGAAGGCAACTTGGGCCCCACATTTAAGGGGATTTAAGATGTCCAGGCGGTTCTTTATTCAAGAATTGTTTTTTTTTTTTTAAAAGAAAGATTCTGTACTGAATTTATATTAACTCTTAGCGTGGCTATAACTAAAATATCACAAAGAAGCAAGGAGTATTAACTCCAAGATCAAAATAACAGCTATTAAATACTACTCAAATGTATTTTTCATTTATATCTGAAATAACCTCTTAAATCGAGTTTTCAGCAAACAAACACTAGGGGTATTTGATGTTGGTACTAGAGGGAACATTCTGTAGGAGTTTCAGATACTGATGCCAACTTGGGGGTTTTCCCCCAAATTTAGGGAGAATCAAGATGTCCTGAGGGGTTTTTAAGAGGTACTTTATACAAGATTTTCTGTTTTCTAAAAACCGCATGATTCTACACAATTTATATTAAGCTTAAAATCTAATCAACTCACTAAACCAAATAAAACTCAACGCCGCACACGTCGGTCGCCATTTTGTTTGTCATTCGGCTTCTAACCTCTGGTCTGATAGCACGAATGATTTTTCTGCGCTCACGTTGTTGAGTTACTCTTTTTGTTAAGTTTTTCATTACGTTGTGTTTGTGGTAATTGTACGGCAGCACAAACAAGAACATTGCGATAAGTATATTGTGGCGAGATGGCAGCGCAGCATGGGATAATCGTCTTACGTCTGCCCCCATACCACTGTGAGCTCAATCCCATTGAGTTGGTATGGGCGCAGGCTTAAGATGTTGCTAGAAATAACAAAACCTTCAAAATGACAGAAGTTAAAACTTTTTGAAGAAGGACATCAACATATCACACTTGAAAAATGGTGTAGCTACGTGTCTCATATAATTAAAGAAGAAGACAAAATGTATTGTCTCGACCATGGATTTATATCGTTAGATAGGCCCCGGCCCCCGACACCAAAAACTGTGGCATTGTTTTTGAATGTGTGCGTTAACAAAATGCCGACACACGCACACTAACGAGTAGTTTAAAAATCGTGTTTCTGGCCTTGTAATAGGTTGAAATCGAAAACGTTTGAATGTGTGCGTCAACATGGCGTCCAAAAACAGTGCAATTTGTGTAGAAGGTACGGTCCGCAAACACATTAATCTTTTTTATTATATATTTTATTTATTATATATATTTTTATTACATAGTAGGTAGACTGTATATTTAAATGTAGAGGCGACAAATCGCTTATAACATTTTCTTCATCTAAAACTCGTGAGAGAATGTCACTATTTATTTCACATTGTTCATCTTCAGCAGATTGTGACGCCTTCGTCGTTGGGTCAGAATCAGTATTGCACAATCCTGACGTGGTCATATTTATTTTTTCAAGGGCTGGTGAACAACCCAAAATTGAAAAGTTATCAATTGGCAAACAATTCCCCGTGAAACTGCGCCGTAGTTCTAGATGGCAGAGTGCTTTTTTATATATGCCACGGAATTGTTCGGTGGTAGGGTTATTATTGCGCCCGCCATGTTGCCTTATTAGTCCGAAAAAAAGTTCTAAGTGGTCTTGACTGAACCTGTATGTTGACATGTAATTCATCACTTTATTCTGTTGAACCAATTCTCGGTACAAGTATTTAAAACTCTGAATGTCTATTAAAAACCCAAGAAATCCCATTTTGCATTTTGCTTGCAAGACTAACTTTTTACTAATAATTATTTTTATCCTTCTTCCTCTTGTTCTTTTGACTTGGTTGTAAATTTTAAGTGACTTTATATAATTTTCTGCCTTGTCAAGAAAATTGAATGTTTTAAATTCATTTTTTTCACCAAGCGATCTTTTAAATCCTTGTTTATAGGTTGTTGAGTTAAAGACATCAAACAAATCGTTGAAAGTTTCAAGAAATTCTACAGTTGGTTCGACATTGCTGAACTTATGTCCAGTAACCATCTCTGAGCATAAGGTCAGTGCTTTCGCTACGCTTCTACTTAGTAATTGGCTTGCTAGGTTGACTTTCATTATTTGGTTCCTGAAAGCAATATGACGTACAGTCAATTTGTTTGCGAACTTGAAGCCTTCTGTTTCTTGAAGTTTCTGTAATTTAACCAAGTACAACCATGCAACGCGTCCAGCTTCACTAAACAAAAGCTTTTTGAGTCGAATGTATTCCTCACTAACTTGAGCATATGGCATGCATCAAAAAAAACAGCAACTCGTTTGGTATTGCACGAGGGATGAGGGAAAGTGGTTTGTAAGCTGTTGATGTTCTCAAAATTGCAACCTAGAATTTCGGCTGTTGCTACATTGGCTGCACAACCGTCAAACGTCAATGCAATGACATCGACACCAACGTCGTAACATTTAGTAATACACATTTGTATTAAGCTTGCACGTTGTTCAGCACGTAGGCCGTTTATGAAAAAGTAACCTAATGGAATTTTCCAGTTTTCAGTGCTTGAAACTAGCATGAAAACGTAGCCTGAGTCGCAACTTCATCTTTTGGTCCCAAGCCTTCATCTACAAGTCCCATCGTCTTCCGACCATTCCAGGTTGTCCTTTGACGTATTGCCATTTCGTCAACGACCAATGTCGCTGTAACTGTTTTCGTTTTAGATTTTTGATGGAGTTTTTCAAATGCCTGTTGAGTGAATCCAGGAGAGACATCACTTTTCTCGTACCACTTGAAAATAGTACGCGGATGCGGCAACGTACTGTTGAATTTGCCTCTAACGTACTTGTAGGCAGCCGGAGAATAGTAATGCAACGTTGCGTAAAATTTTCTTAGAGTTGGCGGAATTCTTTTCCTTTTTTGGCGATTGCAAATAAAAAGTCATTGTTTGCCTCCGCAGCTTTCCCTTCTAATTCATTTAAATCTTCTTTGTTAATAATTTTTTTTATATTCAGGGACTTAACTAACTCTCGCAGGGAATTATTTTTGGTTTTAAAATACTTGTTTCTTTTTTTCAGGTTCATATTCTCTCTTCTGCATTTTTCTCTTTTGCTTTTTATAATGTGTAATTGTTTCTTAAGGCGAATTTTTCTCGGTGTATCGAAAACGGAATCTGTATCCGACACATTTATATCGCATAGGGGTGAACTAGGTCTATTTTGATCAGCAGGTAAACATATTGATGGTTCCGTTATTGGCCGAAAAGCTGGTATGGCATCAGGTTTTAATTTACGAAGACCCAGTGGCGTCACATACAAATGATTTGCCTCGAAATGTGCTGAGCAAACTTTGCTGAATTTTGTAGGTAGCCACTCTTCATCTCTTTTGTCTACTTGTATAATTTTTATCCATTTTTCCTTACACCGTGGGTCTTGGGGAAATCTAAAAAAAAAACTTCAATTTATGTACCCATTTTTACTTATAGCTTTATGAGTAATACCATAATAAAGTATTTTATCATTAAGTTAAACGCACTCTATCTCAAAAACTGTTGAGCGCATAAAAAAATTTTTTTGAAACAATTTTATAACAAATGTAAACATGTTTCGTGGCATCCTGTATTTAATATGCCTTCCTACTAAAATATTAAGAAGACAACAACATGGCTGTTGAATCTGCTGACGCTACCGAACTGTCTAAAACGTGTGCAACAAGTGTACTGAGAAAATAGTGTCATCTCTTTTTCTCCTACATTAGTTGCAAACACTACTTTCTCTTTCGTGCACTCGCCATTTAAATTTGTTATTTTAGACAGTGCGGAAGGAAAAATAAAAGTTTTTAAATCAAATCGCAATACTTACGAGTGAAATGTTACACCTCTGGCTTTATTTGTGTTTTTAGAATTGTTGTTGCACTTTAGAAAGGCACACGATGGCATTTTGTGACACTAAACTGCTCGCAAACGTGCTTTACAACACGTCCGGCTAACACTGTGTTTAGGGGTGCACTGATCATAGGTTAGCGAGCTGACTCACTTCGACTGTGCGACAACACGGCGCGGTCTCACTGCGGTAAGGGCATATCTAACGATATAAATCCATGGTCTCGACCACATGATCGACAATGTTGAAGACAGATTTATAATTAATGTCACCGAAAGCGATAGTGATGATTTTTTATCTAATGATGCATAAAAACAAATTATGTAATAAGCGGTGTTTTTTTTTATTTTCATAACCTACATATAATTCTTATATTTTTAAACATCTATAGTTTAAAACACTCGGTATTCAGTATAGGTTGATACTATTAGGAAGAAAACTCGTTGGTATGTACAAAGCACGACTAAAATTGCAGTTGGGCACACTAACTATTCACTAGGCAATCGAGGCAATTTCATTAATTTTTCAATCATTCACTTTGTCACAACACTTTTTTTTATTTTATCAAAAACTGACAACACAGTAAACGTCAGTTGACTTCATCCAATTAAAAATACGACTATAGGTGAAACATTCTGTAGCAGTTGGCAGCACTGGTTTGAAAAGTCGTGAATTGCAATGATTTACTGTGCTATTTTTTCTTTCACTTTATAATTATTAAATTTATTAAAATTTTAATAATGATAGGTTATATCAGAACAATTGATAAAAATAATAGCATCAAGTAAAAATAATAAATGAATTCTTAGAAGAACAAATATAATTAAAACACCCTCAAGCTACACTCATGGTAGCAACTGGCACAAAACCTTTAAATACGATTATTTCTTTTGAAATTCTGTTTACACGGACACAATAAACTTTCCATTGCGAGGCAATTCTCGCCACGGTGGAAGAGCGAGAGGTGTGAATGTTTAGACTTAAGACGAAGAAACTTTTTTATATTGTCTCCATAATCGTACATTCGAAACGAGAAACTCTCTCCATCTACATGGGCCTTTAACGGCAGCTTGCTATTTGTTGGAAACTGCTATCTAGCTGTTAAAGCTTTAACTCAAACTTAAATAACTATTTATATACCTAAATAGAAACAACAGAAAAGATTGCACTATAGTATACAAAAGTATAATATATTTCAATTTACCTATCAATCTTATCATAACTATACGAAGCTAAACACTAATATTTTAAATAAACTGTTAAGCTGTTTTCTGTAAACCTTTTCAATGTGTACAATACTTAGTACATTATTTTGATAAATCTCGTAGGGTTCGCAATGTAAGCGGAAAAAATGTAATTATTTACGATTTACGACATCACATTAGAAACCTCAAAAATAACAGTATTTCTCCATCCATATTTAATCATTAAATTTTAATGGATATTATTATACAAATAAACCTTCCTCTTCAATCACTCTATCTATTAAAAAATACCGCATCAAAATCCGTTGCGTAGTCTTAAAGATTTAAGCATACATAGGGACAGAGAAAGCGTTAAGCGACTTTGTTTTATACTATGTAGTGATACAGTGAGAACTTGTTATTAATAATTAATAGGCTTACTCCGGGCAGTTACTGCATGGCCAGTAACTTTAAGTTTAACTATTTTCGAATTAATATTTTACTAGAGTATGTTGAAAAATTACTTTTTTTTTTTAAATATTATGGCAATAGTTTTGACTTTAAAATTACTTTATGTTCCTAGTTTCTAATTTCTTTAAAATAATTCCTAGTCTGTACTAGACACTTACTAATCTGTAGGCTATGGCCTGTGGGTAATAATTAGTAAATAATAATTACTATAGCTAGAGATTCATCATTCAAGTGAACTGTGAAGTTTATTTTCGAATTTCGATCAAAAAAATTTATAGTTAACAATGTTTCGTATAGTAATAAAAAATATTATCCCTGCAATAAACAGAAAATCTCAACAAGAAAACACGGTTAGACTGTTTTCGGGAAAAAGATTTTTATCAAACTCAGGTAAACAATACTTAAGTACCAATAGATAAGCAATGCAACAAAAAATCATGGAAAACTGAACATTTCCTTTTTTTCAGTTGAAAATGATAAATTTTCACTTAAACACAACGAAATCGGCCGACCGCTTTATTTTGATGCTCAAGCTACAACGCCAATTGTATGTAAAATAACCTCAATATTTCCGATTTCTTCTGTACTTCTCTTAGCTTATAATAAATTCCCACCAAATCTTTTAGGACCCCAGAGTTTTAGATGCTATGTTACCATATCTAGTAACCTACCACGGTAATCCTCATTCAAGAACTCATGCTTATGGATGGGAGAGTGAAGCTGCTGTTGAGAAAGCAAGAGAGCAAGTTGCTAATTTAATTCGGGCAGATCCTAAAGAAATAATATTCACATCAGGAGCTACAGAGTCCAACAATATTTCTATAAAAGGAGTTGCACGGTTTTATGCACCACGAAAAAAGCATATTGTTACAACACAGATTGTTAGTACATATTTTAAATTACCTTGTCAATTTAGAATAAGAATTGTATCTTGGGTGGTATCCTCACCATTGTCTGATGTCAATGTAATGTTTATTTACAGGAACACAAATGTGTGTTAGATTCTTGCAGAGTTCTAGAAGGGGAGGGTTTTAAAGTTACTTATTTGCCTGTTGGAACAAACGGTATAATTAAATTAGAAGATTTAGAAGCTGCATTAACACCTGAAACTAGTTTGGTATCAATTATGACAGTAAATAATGAAATTGGTATACATTTTTTGTATTACATGATAGCATTTAATTACTTACAATTTTCAATATTAACTTCACAATATATCTTTTAGGTGTGAAACAGCCTATTGCAGACATTGGATCAATGTGTAAGAAACATAAAATATTCTTTCACACAGACTCAGCTCAGGCCATTGGAAAAATCAAACTGGATGTGAATGACATGAACATTGATTTAATGTCTATATCTGGTCATAAAGTTTATGGGCCAAAGGGAATTGGAGCTTTATACATTAGGCGTAGGCCCAGAGTCCGAGTCGAACCTTTACAGAGTGGTGGTGGTCAAGAAAGAGGTATTAGAAGTGGTACAGTGCCTACTCCGTTAGTAGTTGGTTTAGGTAAGTAATCAATTGACATATATGGATTAATGTATCTATTATAGGATCTAATATTAAAGATAATATGCATATTACACAGCACATCATATGCTTCTTATAATTTTTTTTTTTAAATAAATAATGTTTTATATTTTTAATATGTAAACAGATTGATTTCGCCCAAAAGTAGAAATGTCCACAAAGAAATATATATCAAAAAATTTAAAACACAAAAATGGGAATTCTTTTCCAAACATCAGATATTTCAGATTATAGTTTGTAAGGTTTATTGTTATCATAGGCTCAGCATGTGAAATATCAGAAAGAGAAATGTCATACGACCATGCAAGGATGGAAAAATTAGCAAAGAGGTTTTTAGACAAAATAAACTCAAAGTTGACACATGTAATCCGAAATGGAGATGAAAAACATTCTTATCCTGGCTGTATTAATTTATCATTTGCTTATGTTGAAGGTATGTTGTCTGTCATCATAAAATATATGTAGAATGAATGTAATTAGAAGAAATGGATATCCTCAGAAATTTGAAATTTAACCCAAACAACAACAGAATTTAAAGTCTCCGTTTTGCTAAATACTCTGTTAAATCATTAATTGGCTGGAAAAACTAAACTATTGTACAAAAAATTTTGCTTATTTTATATGTGTTGGAGAAATCATTGCCTACAGTGTTTATATAATTTGTTCTTGTCTGATAAGAATTAATAGCTCTTGGCAAAGTTCTATATTTCATTATGAAAAAAGAGCACAATATACAAGTTATTACATTCAGATATTTGGTTTTAATTTATAAAAAAATTTTTATTTCAGGTGAATCTTTATTAATGGCTTTAAAAGATATTGCTTTATCAAGTGGCTCAGCATGTACATCAGCATCTCTGGAACCATCATATGTATTAAGAGCTATTGGAACAGATGAGGACCTAGCACATAGTTCAATAAGGTTGGCAATTATTTAATGTTTCTGTATGAATTATCCTTTCTTCTCTCTCTTCTTTATCCTTACCATAATTATAGTCACCAACTGGTGCATTTGCATAACACACCTTAGTTTCTTGAAACATTGTAGTAGTTAAGGGAATAAGGAAAATTTTGTCATAAGCTAATAAATTATTTGTAGTATATATATATATATATGTTTATATATAAATATATATATATATATAAAACGTAAAAGTAATAGAAGTTCCTGGATTCATAACTTCATTAAAAAAAATTGTGCAAGTGAATCTGTAATGGACTAATTTCTAAAAAAAAAATATTTTTAGGTTTGGCTTAGGAAGATTTACTACTATGGATGAAGTAGATTATACAGCAGATAAAACAATACGGCATGTTGAACGTCTCAGAGAAATGAGTCCCCTTTGGGAAATGGTTCAAGAAGGAGTGGATATCAAAAATATACAATGGTCTCAGCACTAAATGAAAGCAACTATGATCATTAATATTACAATGTTAGTCTCAATCTTTATAGATTAAAAGTCTAAGATTTTAATATTAGGGCCTAAAATGTGATAACTTAATTTGTAGATGATTACGTAATATAAAAATATTCCGTAAGTATAGGATTTGAGTTGTAAAACTGTTAAATATATGTAGTGGATATACATAATACATAATTATTCACAATAACAGGTTCCATTTCTCAGAAGAAATATTTCAATGTTACATGAGAGCCATTTATATATATGTATAGCCTATGGCTATTAAATCACACCATTCTGTAAAATAATGCCCAACAGCTAATTTAATGAAATAAAAACTTTTATTCAGCTAGAAAATAAATTTTGAAACTAAATATTGTTATTTCATAAAGAAATTGTATTTGGCTATTTAATTTAAGTTCTAAAGATCTGATTAAAATTATTGTTTGTGGGTGTTAACTTATTTAAAATTTATTACGGAATAAGTTCTATTTCCATATCCAATTTACACAGCATTATTCTATTATTTGAATACACAACATAATGTTACTTTGTTTTGAATTCTTATGAAATGTATTTAGCTGTTATTACAAGAAATATTAAAATACTATTTTAAGTAAAAATAAAAGTTTTTTGAAACATTGTATTTTTTATGTGAAATAATATTAATTACAAGATAGCATAAATTAGAGTGACACTTAGGCCTAGTTTAATAAATAAAATAATACTAAAATACAACCTTGAAAGACTTATGTGAGGAGGACTGTTAAAATGTTATGCATATTATTTACCATATTTTATGTTTTTCATATTAAACATTCTATTGCACCATGATTATGGGTTATGGATATAATATCAAAATGACAACTAAAAAAATATCATAACTGTATAACATTAACTTAAATAAGTGATTAATATTTCAGACATAAATTGTAAGCTAAAATACTAAGTTTTATAAAAATTACATTGAGTTTCAAGATGAAATCAGCAACTGCATGATGGTTCCTCAGGAGATTCAGGTTGAGATATTTTAAAACTGTTGTGATCTAAAGCTTGGAGCTCAATCCTTGAACGATTGGACTCTACAAGTTGTGATGCTATGTCACTAAACATCTCTTCTATGCCTTTTCCAGTTTTACATGATGTTTTATAAATGCTACTAATAAGATTGTGACATTGTTCGCTGTAACAAAATGCATATATATATAAAATTAATAATGTGCGAAAAATTTAGTTAATAAACTCAAAATAACTATTCTAGACCACAAGCCCATGAACAAAAAATACCTGTGAAATGACCCAACGTGAATTACGCTTAGAAGGCTGTTACTATATCTGAAAATAGCTCTGAGCACTATGCCGTCATTTCTGAGCGGTACATGTGAGTACGTGAGTGAATGGACTTTCTCAGGTACAATTGGGGAATTTCGACTAATTATTAATGTACGGCTTTGTTATAAGTGTATAGATGATTAAAAATAAATGTCGAAAAACTTAGTGCCGTACTAAAGTGATGGTACCGGAAGTCGGTGCAAATTTTTAATTCGACCATAGTTGCAGGAGCAATATAGGTCATTTATTACTGTACGGCATTTGCGTAATTCCTTTTGGACACATATACAGATACTTTACCCGTAAACGCCGTACATATTTCCAGCGGAGCGGTCGAAAGCCAAGGGTCGCAACATATGTCTGATTAGCATATAGGTGATGATGATATAGAACAACATAAAATTAAATGATCTTGAGAGTTCTTCACAAATAGGTAACATTTTCCAGCATGCCGTACATTTTTTGTGGAACACATAGGTGTATGGGGTAAATTACTTCCCTCCGAAAAAGAGTCATTTTCCGGTGACTTTAATCTGTACGGCAATAACACAGGTTATTAATACTTTAGACAATCTTCAATAAAAGATAAATGCCGTACACTTTCGATAGTCCGCTAGTCTGTGAAATGGCAGATTATACCACCGCCTACCAATACAGGGCGTCCCAAAGTTATGGGATATGAAGGGGAAGTACCTTAAATATCGTAGATAGGGTATTTTACTAAAATAAGACTTTATGTTATTTTTAAAAGTTAGTAATTCTGCATTCAAAGATTTTCTAAAAATTACTTGCCTCGTCTGGGAATCGAACCGACTTTGATGTAAAAAAAAACCCCTACTTTTATGATGCCAATCGAAAGAATGGCCAAAAACTAATAACTCTTCTTAAGTAACATAGTATTTTAAAAGAAAGGAACTGCGTAAATATATCTTTTTAATCAAATTAAAAACATTATCCATCGTATTCGGCCTAAAAAAATCCACTACTAGTCTGTTACTTTAGAAAAGTTATTAGGTTTTGGCCATTCTTTCGATTGGTATCATAAAAGTAGGGGTTTTTTTTTACATTTAAGCCGGTTCGATTTCCAGACGAGGCTAGTAATTATTTCAAAATCTTTTAATGCAGAATTACTAACTTTTAAAAATAACGTAAAGTCTTCTTTCAGTAAAATACCCTATCTACGATATTAAAGGTACTTTCCCTTCATGTCCCATAACTTTGGGACGCCCTGTATTATATTTTTATTTTTGTTAAAAATACTTTTCCTTTACCTCTCTCTGCTCGTACGATAAGGCTGTAAATAGACTTTACAGCCTTATGGTAGTATACTCAGATACGTACAGTTATTAATGACCTTAAGGGACACCTCAAACGTCGTCGAAGTTTTTATCAGCTGTAAAGAATAATCTGGAGCAAAATGTACGGCATCTGGTTTTTTTTGTTTATTTATATTTGTTACATATAAAATAACAATAATCTTTGAAAATATTACTCCTCATATTACTTTAGGAATATTTAAAAAATCATCTAAATTTCGGAAATTTCATATATTTTTTATCATAATATTTTTATTTGTTACCATTTATAATGAACGGCTATAAGGTACAACGGTAACATTTAGTAACATTATGTAAAAAAACAAGTTGCCGTACATTATTCTCTGATCTTACAGCAGTAATAACTCGGTAAATCCTGAAATTTCGATAAATATTTATTTACACAAATATTAACTATAATTTTTGGACGGCATAATTATAAAACATTATTGTCCGTGTTAAATAATATTTTGAACATGTTGCCGTACATTTTACAATGACCTTAGGGTATATGGGTGTAGGGGTAGGGTTCTGACCCTTGGCTTTCGACCGCTCCGCTGGAAATATGTACGGCGTTTACGGGTAAAGTATCTGTATATGTGTCCAAAAGGAATCACACAAATGCCGTACAGTAATAAATGACCTATATTGCTTCTGCAACTGTCGTCGAATTAAGAATTTGCACCGACTTCCGGCACCATCACTTTAGTACGGCACTAGGTTTTTCGACATTTATTTTTAATCATCTATACACTTATAACAAAGCCGTACATTAATAATTAGTCGAAATTCCCCAATTGTACCTGAGAAAGTCCATTCACTCACGTACTCACATGTACCGCTCAGAAATGACGGCATAGTGCTCAGAGCTATTTTCAGATATAGTAACAGCCTTCTAAGCGTAATTCACGTTGGGTCATTTCACAGGTATTTTTTGTTCATGGGCTTGTGGTCTATTCATATAGGTAAACAAGTACACTTATGAAGAAGGGCGTAGAGCGGGCAAGAAGAACTGGCAAGAAACTTTCTGCCTCTCTTTTTAATAGCTAAGTTTTGAGTGTTAATGTGTATCTAATTGGCTTAATATCAAGTGATACAAGTTCCTGCATTCATAACTACTTTTACAAGAAAGACATAGTAAAAAGGTTTGTCCATTTTCATTACATTAAATAGTTTTATATATGTAGATAACTTACCAAAAAGTTTCGATATCAGCATCAGTTACTTGTGGAGATGTCCCTTCAAGATCAGACTTATTACCACACAGATAAATTTTTGCATTCTCTGCGTAAGTCACAATATCCAACAAATGTTGACTCAATACATGAAATGAAGAAATATTATCTAAAGAAAATACTAAAATTGCTGCTTCAGCAAATTTGTAATAACTTGATGTCACTGAAGCAATCCTTTCCATTCCTCCAGTATCCCATAACTGCAACTGGGTAATAACAGTTTATTTATATTAGCATGGCAATAAAGTATTTGTAAAGTCTCAATTTTATTATACATACTAATATACAAATAAAGAATCCATAGTGTAATTTTTTTTTTAATACTAATCAAATTAGTTATTCACCTTGACTTCCTTGTCACCAATTTGATATAATTTCTCGAAATGATCAAGTCCCAAAGTAGAACGTCTATCAGCATTTGGTAAAAACGTATTATTTATGAATCGTCGAAATATAGAACTTTTGCCTACACCATATTCACCACATAAAATCACTTTTAAAACTGGAGTTTTTACGATAGCCATTATTTTGTAAAATCTCTACGAGGGTAAATAATACTTTTACATTTTTTAAAGTGAAATAATAGAATACAATACTAAATACTCGTCTTAAAAATATTTTTTAATTAGATTACTTGTCTAATTAATTATTTTGCCATGGATATTTGTTACATACTTGTTTGCAACAATCACTCAATTTTCACGAGTTCATGACGTTAAACAATTGACAGAGTATTCTTCAATATAGACAAATGACACAGTTTTCAAACTTATGCCAAGCCAATAGCCATACCAAGGTATTCAGCAACATAAAATATATAGTCTATGGTTTGTGCCTTGTGATATTGGTTGTGACTTATGACTTTTGACCTAATAAAATTGGCATAAAAAAATCGAAATATTGTTCTATTGACATCTTGAATTGTGCTTTTTAGATAATTCTAAATCTAAATTATATTTATTACAAATTAGGAAGTGATTTTGAACTAGTAAGACTTAAGAACATGAAGTGAACCTATATTATTTAGTACTAAGAAAAACTAAGAAAATGAGTAATATAGAAGAAACAGAAATTGATTCTCCAGAAGTTAATGGAAATGTAGTAAATGAAAATAAAAGAACGGAATGGGTAAAGTTTGATGATGAAGAAAAAGACCCCGCTGTCGCCAATGGTAAAGCAGTTAGTTCACAACCAGGACCATCTGCAAACATAGGAGTGCCTGCAGTATTAAACACGGAATCTGTTCAAGTGAATTTAGAGCGAAATGATAAAAATTCAGAGCCATTAAGCCCTCATAAGAAAAATGTAGAAGTCATTAATATTCACCAAGGATTTAGTAAGTCTATACTTATAAGTATTAACCACTAGCTACACTTTCTATTTATATAACACATTTTGTTGTTCTAGGTAATGGGGATATAATTGTTACATTACTCCCTGTAAATACAAATTTGCCATGGATTACACCAGCTCAGTTCAGACCAGAATTGGTTCCAGAAGAATTAATGGCTCAAGGTTTAACAGTGAGTAATTATCTTAGATCTCAAAAAAATACATGTTATTTTTGGAAAGTGAAAACAGTGGTTGTTTCCTTTTCTTAATTTTCTTCCTCACAATTACTCTTTATTAATATATTGATTTACCTTCATTAGGTAAAACATACAAATGGTACGGTACTGTATCTTTTATTTAAATTGCCAAACTATTTATCAAAGTCAAAGTCAAATCATTTATTTCAATTAGACCATCTAAAATGGCACTTTTGAACGTCAAAAAAAATACAAAGAAGATTCTAGTTGCCCCTTCCAAAAGGTAGTTTCGTGTGGAGAAGAATGGGCAAGAAACTCCACACTTACTCTTTTTAAAATAGGTTTACAATATTTTGATACATTTGTTAAATAATTATATGTGAAGACAATGTACTCTTAGAATAAACTACTATACTAAAACAGTTAGTATACATGTTCCTCACATATTTACAAATATCGAAACCGTAGAATATTAACATTAAAGAGTAATAAAAATATTAAAAAAACACAACAAAAGAGTGTGTGAGATAGAATAAAATAATTACATTTGTAGCATTATAAATTAAAAAAAAAGAAATAACAAAAATATGTTAAAGCAAAAAATCAGCAACCAATTTGATTTTGTCCAGGCTCTATGATTGTCCTATGGAGCAGGACCAGCATGTTTCCAAGCATTCTTATCTTGAATATAATCATCTATCTTAGGTAAACTGTTGTCACATTTTATATGTAACCCACATAATATGTTAGTCTATCTCTATAAATTCTCATCTTATAAACTGTTTACAAAAAAATTCAGAATGAGTAGACTACTAACTATTAACTAGCTGCTCCCGTGAACTCAGTTTTGCCTATGATTTTTTTATGAAACTGGTTTTAAGGTGTGTGTGTGTGTGTGCAATTTTTCAAATTATCCTCTACATGAAAACCTTTCTCAGAGTTCAAGGAATAAATAAAAAAAATCAAATTACAAATCCAGCCGTCTTTGAGATTTGCACTTAGCAACATATTTTGCGATTCATTTTTATTGATATAGATAATATATATATATAAAGATTGGCTTTTTCAGTTGACAGTGGAGGAGTATGTTCATGCAATGGAATTACTGGTGAATGATGCCCGGTTTACCCTATATAACATTTTTTACAAGAGAGTACTTGTTTGCTGGATCACAATAGCGTTTATAGTGCTTCTCAGCTTGCTATTCTCAGGCCTGACTGGACTTACACTATTCAGCCTTGGTGTGGTGTGGTTGATTTTAAATGCATTGGCAATTTTTGTCTGCATGTGGATCAAGTTAAGACTTTCAAAAGGATTAGAGCGATGTTTGGCAAGTGTAAACAAGTTGCTCATTAAACATAAATTGATCCTTGCTTTAGATGATAGAGGAAAATTATCCTGCCACAAAGTTCATCTTTGTTTTCTGTATTTTGACTCTGAACCTTGTATTTCTCATATTCAACAATTTATTGCAAGTGAAGAAGGGAAAACTATAATTCAAGGCTGGGAACAGAAGTTAGATGTGCAAACAAATGACATTGTAATACGAGGAAGTCAAACTACAAGATTGTCAAGAAAACAGGTAAATAAAGGTTTATTTTTATTAGTGTGTTATTAAAATTGTAATTTCACTATTATCTGTTTTGATGGTCGCTAGAAAGGTTTTTCATAAATAAATCTATTATATATTCCTTGTCTCATATTGGATTTTAGTGGGTAACTGGTAACTAAAATTTCTGAAATACCAGGTATGAACAGTTTGATAAGCCAACTCTAAATGCAAAATATTATTTGAGTGTCATAAAAATTTTGTGTCATTGTGTGTGTGTAGATCAACATTCTCATTTGACTATTTCACCATAAAAATTAAGCAATTTATCATGTTAGAAAATTATATAATAATAAATAATAAAATGTTGTTCTATTTGACTTATCAACAACTATTCATTAACTTGGTTAACAGATATGTATAATGTATATGCAGGTGCAAGGTCTAATATTCACTCGTGTAGTATATGCTTTTCCACATATTCAGAAAGCAAAGAAACTGGTTTCTTTCAAAATTATTTATCTAGAGGCTAAAGATTCATAACATGCTGTATACTTACTAAAACTGGTGTTACATGGGTGTGGTATAAAATGTGCAGGATATGGGCGAGCAAGTGTACCTTCGTTACCTCCAGCGTTGGGGCAAGGACTTCTTGCGTCGCCGACTTGACTGGACATTAGATGAGGAAGGAGGAAATCCTACTGCCCCTCGGCACTTATCCCGGGCGCTTTGTCCTTGTCAATATGTTGAAGAAATCTTACGCAACAAAGAACCCAAAGATACTCGGGCCTGTTGTATGTCATGCAACAATTGGCTAAGGCGAAGAGGTCTGGATTGACCAAACCACTTTAATCCTTGGCAAGTCTCATTTTGATTGGTTTGATGGTATAGCATAGCTGTATGAAGGCTTAGCATGTTTGTAGCATACAAAATTCTTTTAGCATATGTATTTTTTTCCGACTACTGCTGATGTTAAAGTTTAGGTTATATGTACAAATAATAAAGCCTTTTGTGACTATCGTTTATTGTATTAAAAATAATATTGATGAGACTTGAGTCATGCAATGCATGCATGTTGAATCAGAATGACTTCCGTATATCCACATTCTGTTAATTACCCCCATCAAATTTCCAGAACATATCTCTCACACATATCATTAGTAGTAGGTTTATGTAAGATTTCCTTTTTTTTTTAGGAAAGAGGTGCTCTTTTGTATGACCGCTATGTAGGCAGATGGGGGGCATATGTGGTGAAGAACAGACTTAATCTCAGCACCTTTTCTCCAGGACGCCACGGAGAGAAATACGTCTGTCCTTGCCAGTTTATAGAAGAGCATCTCAAAACGAAGCCACCTGCTGGCCTAGCTAAGTACTTTACATTACCTAATCAAAGTATTCATGTGTAATAATGACTGAAGTTTTCCGTCCAATGATAAACCGAGAGTCACAAATAGAAATTTTGTTGTATATTTTAAATGGCTTTTATAGCCAGTGACACCTTTGTATTTATAAAGTGAACATTATTTACATTGTACCATATTAAAAAAATATGTTTTACATTGTGTCAAATGTTCTAAATGTACTTCTTAAATTTATATTATTTTAGGCATATACATTTTTTATTTAACCAATTTTAGATTTATGAGTAATATTATAGTAATATAACATTATATTTTGACACAATATTATTTTTATATTTTAACATTAGTATATAATCGACATTCAATTTACGAACCATTTTATTGTTGTATGTAATTTAAATGAATTTTTAAGTGGCCATTTTTGTTGTAGGTTCCAATATTGTTTACATTATTTTGGTATATATGTAAAAATCTATTCAGCTATTTGATAAACACTTATGTTCTACTCTTTATTCTTTTACGCCCTGGCATTTCTTGAAATACTATTTATGTTTATTTAGCAGTATTCTTTTTTGTTTATATAGCCCGGTTGTAAATTTATTTCCCGGTAAAATATAACTTACTATTCTCTCGTTCTCGTTTCTTCTATATAAGTACTATAAGAAATAAAAGATATTTTTAACTTCTATATTTAATACATATCACGCACAATGTTTTTATTGTTGACATACATATTTAACCTTTTATACTAACAATTTACTAATTATCGCATATATTTTATTAATTTAGTTTAATACTTATTGCTATGACTGGAAGTTCATTATGTACCAATTTTAACACCAAATTGTTAGTTAGTCACTTAGTTTATTCAATCAACAAGCAATTATTTTTATGTTCTCCAAATTGTACTTAATTGTTATTAGAAAATATAATTTCAAATAAAATACCCACGTCTATAATATTAGCATTGTTTTATAATCTATAAATTTCAAGCATGTGTATACTGTTCCCGCCACGTGAGTTGACAAGAGTTGTAAAACGCACAGATGTTTTTAGGTCCTATCATTGTATGTTCATACGCGAACTATTCCCCACCGCGACAAAATGTTGCCAAGTTACGTGCCGATTGTTACCATAAAATATTGATATATTATGGTAACAAACACAATACATTTCTGTAATTTAAACTGCTGTAATCATGCGGACAATTGGAAAAAGTTGGTACACGGCTTTTAAGGGCTTATAATTTACAAAACAATAAAAATGTCTTATTTGTTACCATGGCTACTTTACTTCGTGTCTTACGTTACCTAATATATTTTAGAAAAACTAACATAAATTTTAGCAAGAGCACGGCCACACGATGCGGTAACGGTGTGACGTGCGGCGCTGCACCGCAATTACTTCGAGCTATAGGGTGCATACGGGCGTTGCGGTGTGGCAATATATTTTACCCCTCCCCGCCTCGTCTCGCAGGTTACAACTCCGGCGAGCTTGCGGTGCGACGACGTGTCGTGTGACATGGTATAGTAATTTGTATGTTGGATGACGTTACGGCACCGCACCGTTACCGCATCGTGTGGCCGCGCTCTTGAGGGCCCAAGAACTTAATGCTTATAATATACATAAAATCGATAACTGTAAAACAGTTTTATAATACTAATAAATAATGTAACATTGCATAATAGAAATAAAAAAATTGTATTTCCTTACTTTCAGTCATAAAGTTTTATCAGTAAAAGAAGAGCCCTTGGTTATTATGTAGTTTATATTTAAATTTATTACGATTAAGGTATCTGTAAAATGTTCTTGGGTTTATGGTGCCTGAAGCATATAAGAATGTGATGTAATAACATTCCGTCCCATATGTACTTAATAAGTTAAGATGAATATAACTATACAATTTACAACTGAATAAATAGTTTTATTTTTAATAACAGTTGAATAAGTAAAATATTACATATTCAACTGTTACGTGGAATGTTGAGGCTGAACCCCTTCATTAAAATTGAATTAAACAAACCAGTGTTATTGCACTGTTCGTCTCAGTCCAACAAATTGCATTTACGCTATGATGAAAAGGGACAGATTTTTAGATCTTAGGCATGCCGAGTTCCTTACGAAGTTTTCTCCACCACGGATTAAATTTGCACATAGTAAAAAAAATTGGTGTACGGCCGTGAGACAACAATGATTTTTTACAATCTATTATCCAAACCGGAGAAAACTGATATTGTAAGCGCAAGAGTGCCCCTTAGGGAACTTTTGTCGAAATGTCTAATGATTCTCCATACAAATATTTCAACCATCAATCTCGTTTCACATTAGGACACGTTGCAAAGACTTTTATAATTTACGATACCTTATTAAAGGGACTCCTTTGCTCCATATGACCAGACATGTTAAAAAATTTCAATAAATTACTGCATGAAAATTAAAACAATTTATGATTTAATGAAGTTTATTGACTAAAATGACAAGCGTAAACGCATAAATATTATAAAAAATACATTTAAAAATATATTACATAATATCACAGTTCTACAAATTTCAAAGTGTAAATCAAAACAAGTTTTAAAGAAGACAATTAAAAAAATGAATTGAATATAGGCATGATACAAAATAAAAATCTCCTGTAAAATATTGAGCAAACAATAAAAAAAACATGGGTGCGATTTTAATTTTCTTTACGCGTCTTTTTGGGTGAACCCTTAGAATCTCCGGCGGGGAAAAGACCCAAAAATGAGTTTCGCTGTTCCTTCACTTGCGATTCTTTTTCTATGTTTATAACTATATCACGATTTCGCTTTAAGTTTCTGTCGGAAGCGTCATCTCGGATCTCTATAGATGAAGCTAGCGACTCTAGAGAAGTGACTGTTGATCGTTCTGCTAGTTTTTCCCGGACAGCCAGATTAAGGTAAGGCCGCGGTGATTCGCAAAGACTTGCCACAGAGGAACTGTCTGTGGGAGGAAGTGCGTCGAGCGCAGCAAGGCGCATTATCTCCCTCTGCGAGTCACGGGCCTCCATGAGAAAAATACTTTCCTGTTGGCCAGATTTATCAATAAGCAAGAAATTTTATAAAATAAAATGCATATTTTTATATTGACGATGATAGATTGAGACGCTCAATAGCAGTTTATCAATTTAAAAATAATATATAAACAAGGTGCAAGGTATAAAGCAGCATAAGTACGACGAGCGTTAAATTTAAAAAAAACATATTAAAGGTAAAAAGGTATGAGAAAAATGTACCTTAACTTCCTTAGTAATGTACTGATCTAGTTTGTCATATATAACGGCATGTAGACCCATCTCTTTTAGCTTTTTAATTGTATTCTTGTCATTGTTATCGTCGCCCCAGCAAAAAATTACTAGACCAGCATCAGTTGCTAACTTAACCTAGAAAAATAAATATAATGCATTAGGAAATGGTACCTATGCCAATATCGAAAAAACTAAAATTGTATGCTTTTTTCTCTGTAACCTTAAGCACCGAGTTACAACCCATAGGTAAAGCGAATAAACCTCGGAACGGATATTTGAAACAAAATAGATTTTCCTATCTGAAGGAAATTAATAATTACTCATATTGCAAAGAAAAACGTCGATAAACTTAATTTTGTGTGTTTATTAGACTAGGGGTTGGTATTGACTTTATTCTCACATAGTTAATTCTCACTGAATAAAGATGCAAAGTTTTCAAAGTTAGATGTCGCTATATGTAAATGAAAACACTATCGTTAATAATTACGTTTAGTACATGTATGAGAATCGAGTACACCTGTAAACCAGAATATTTATTACAATAATATTGGTTGATAAGTCCCTGGAAGGTACAATGATAACACATTTATTAGATACAAAAAACATTACATGACGCATTCGAAGTCGTATATATCACTATGGCAGTAATCCCATATTAAATGGATCGATAACGTTATAAAATGCACGTATTCAGAATAATTATAAAGTACATATTAACTTCAGTGTAATTTGCCATGTTATTATCCAGTCGACGAAAATTAATTTTAATTTTGTTATTTCATTTATCGTAAACTTGTTTTAAAACTTTTTAAATCAAGTTTACGATAAATTTTAATTAGTTAAACATTTTAACTAATTAAAAATCCTTAGAGTAGAATGTGAAATTTTAATCTGACAGAAGTCTATTTTATCATTTGTAAAGATATAATTTTTTATAGTTTAAAAACTGAATAGCAACATCCCGAGGAAAAAATAAATAAAAGGAGCACATAGGAATTAAAAACAATATTTATAAACAGGTAGCTGCTAAAACTATTAAAGTGAATAGAACACGTTTTCCTTGAACTCTTTGAATATTTTACGTCGTATCGTTACGTAGTACGAGTAACTCAACATTGCGTGATAGGCATAAAAATAATTTTGTACTTTGTACTATTAAATCGATGCGTAGTACTGTCAGAAGTTTGACTAAGAACCTGAGGCAGAGAAGGGGGGTGTTCGCGTCAGGGGGTTGTTCAAACATAGTTTAAAATTCGAAATAACACGGTTTCTAGGATATAAGGCGCACGTGTGTGATAACGTAATCACTATAGGGGGGGGAGGGGGTGATCTTCGATTTTCTTAGTTGGTGATTACGTCAACAGTAATTATTTACTTTTTTACACATATTACCCACACATTGTCTATGCTCGAAAAGGAAATGCATTTTTGATTGACATTCCAACAAAAATTAATACGTTTATGTACTTGTATTTGCTTACTTTTGCTGACAAGTGAAAGGGTAGGAGGTATAAATTGCAGTAAATCTGCTTATGTAATACTTGAACGGCCCCTAACAACAGAATCCTTAGAATCCACGAACTTTACCGTATCAATTGGAAATTTGTGATGCTAGAACAAGACCGCTTAGTGACCTTTACGCTAAGTAACCTTGGGGAAGCCGTGCCTTTCATATTTTAATCACATAATTTATGTTTTTTTTTATTAACTTTTTAAAATCCGTTTAATTTTTTACATAAAAATAACAACTTTGCGGCTTTAGGAGCACAATTTTTGTTTCACTTTCACATCTGGTTTCTATATTTAAAATAATATCCGTAATGATTACGAGCCCCAGACGTAAAAAGAGCATATACTATAAATAACATTGTAAATTTACTAGCAGTTATATTAACTGAACAGTAAAGGGGTCTGATAAACAATGATTGTTTTATTATATAATTGGCAATTGCTTCAATGAGATTCCTTGAATTATCTATTTAAACTTTTTCTTAAATAACAGCAGGTATTAAGTATTGATATAGTCCAACGCAAAGTAAATAGGTACAGAAGTTTTTTCCTTCACCAAAAATATGGCCAATCTTATTTTACGTACGAAACGAAATCCACAATAAAAATGGCCCTAAGATTTCTATATCTGTTTCGTAATAATTTGTTTTTTCCAATAGGCAAGTAGGTGATTAGCCTTCTGCGCACACAAGCCGTCGACTTTTTGGGTATATGTCATACCGACTTTCTACAAGGGATTTTTAGATTCATCACACATATACAGAAAGCCCGTGCACTGGGGATCAAGTCGCACGCTGAAGCCACTAGGCCAACATTTAACATAAATTAATAGAAGAATAAAGAATAGTAAAAATATCTTTATCGAGTAATGCATGAGTAGTAAATGAAACCACGAACATTCTTCATACAAAATACGTAATGTGAATTGAAAATCTATTGGCCGCCAGGCGGATGTATGTATGTCTGTTCGTTTGTGAAACATTTTGGTTTTGCAAACGTAAAAAAAACTGGAACGTCTAATGCAAATTGCGCCATCTATGCCTAACGATAGCAAACTTAACACATATCAGCGTATGCGTTCAATTGTTTGTGAACGACACATCGACGCGACGGTGGAGAGAACAATTGTAAATTTATGTTACACAATAATATGTATGTTTGTTAATAAATAATGTAAACAGTAGAATTGGACTCACAATTGATTTTTTAATTCAAATAAGAACTATTAGTCCCATTTCAGTAAATTGGAAGTGACACATTTCATGAACAGTTGTATGTACGTACAAAGAAACAAAGTAAAGTACAATACTAATTTAAGAATATAAAACATCAGATACCTGTGTCGGATCCCTGAGTAAGTCTTCAGTGTGAACCACAATACCGAGAATGTCTGAACTTATTGCATTTTGAACGGCCGCTGGGATGGATAGGCATCTTGGATCGCGGTATGGGGGATATTTTTTCGATACACCCTGTAATTAATTTAGTTTCTTATATATTTTAGAACTTGAGTTGCCTGAAAGAGATCACTTGTTAATGTTTGCCGTTTCACTCCTCATTCATTTTCCTATGTTTTTAATAAGTGTTTTGTTAACCACAGAAATAATATCTCATAAATATGGAATAAAAGTTCACACGCATCTGTCACACTCATCGCAGTGTTAATACGCGTATTTACGCACATATTAGTTTTAATGTGCGATTTCATTCTTAATGGATTTTGCAATATGCACGGGTAAGTAATAGCCCAAAATGTAACTAATACGTCGTAACGTACTACGTATGCGTAGACTTTTATTTATACCCGAAGTGGAAATACCATTGCCCCCGAAAGTACCAAAGGTATCTGAGAGGCGACCTAAGACCAGAATCTCTGCTGTTTAGAGTCGGGGATAACTACGTCGGGTGGTTTCTATAAGACCGCGTTAGAGGCTCCGGGGTCGTTATCGTAGTATAGCTAGGTAATATAATACTGTGGATGATATACGTAAAACTAAACGACGGCGCGTTCCGGTTGATCTACATTGGTCAACAGCATCTATCGTCCAATGCGTGTTGACACGCGACATCATACGTCATGTTATTATGTTCGTTTGACCAATCAGGATTTCCACGTTAGGGTTTATGCACGCTAAAGCTTAGGTTTCCTAGAAAAGCGGTGCCGTTATCCAACGGCCGTCATATTACGGTTGTTAATAATGGCCGTCTTTACGGTGGCCAAGCTGTGGTTTCCGGGGTGGTAGGTTCAGAATTGAGACTTACCGCTTAAAGTATGACATATTAAATGTAAACGTATTCGCGCTTAGTTTCGACTTTGACAAGGTCAACTGTCAAAATATATTATATCAGTTATTATTTATTATTTTTATGTTTTGTGTAAATTGTCAATTGTATGGTCCGACAGTTACTTACTTATAAGTTATAACTAAAGTTAGTTTAAGTTCGATTGTTGATTTTTTTTGTTAATTTAACTAGCTGGTGTCCGCGACATCGTCTGCGCAGGATTAAAATAATATTTTTGTAGGTCTATTTAAGATAAACATTTCCATCATACATAAGATATGTGTAACTCTAGCAGTTTTGGCAACGCACGCCATAATAGCTCGCAGATGGTAGATTTTTTTCCTACTTGATATTTTGGACAATTTATACAATATATTTATAAATTCTAGCCTATGTGTTATTCTGATATATAAGCTATATTATTGTAAAGTTTCATTAAAATCAATACAGTACGTGAAAAAATAACAAACATCAATCCATACTTACAAACTTTCGCGTTAAATTTCGTCGGACATTGGTCCTATAATTCTCGCTAAAGATTACATGATAGTATTTTTTATTTGAAATCCTTGAAAATGTTAAAAATGTTCTTTGTTTCAAAAATTCAATAATTAGTAGACAAAAAACAATTATATAACAATACCATACCTATTTATTTTTACATGAAAAAGCGACGTATTTAATGACAATAATTATTCTATCATTTACGACTTCAATTTATTAAACGAAGTGTGTAAAAGCCAATATTTCAAGTAATTAGTTACTAATTATTTATGACACACATGTTCAAAGAACGTTGACCTAAACAGAAGTTAATGTACTAAAAATGCGTCATTATTTTCGCGCAATGCATGCTAGGATTTAGTTAATACACTAAATTCAGAAAACCTCGATTTCAAAATACCGATAGTAATTGCTACAAGTAGTATTTTACTCGCTGTAATTAATATTTTTATGTTTAACTTAATCCGAAAATATAAATAATGTCTACGGCGAGTGTCAAAGAATTTATGACTGCGACACATAAATCAACTTTAAATAGAGAAACTAACAAATCTACGAACAAAATTTAAAAATAGCCAAATTCATCTGTCGTTTTCCAGACTAGACTGTTGTTACATATAACTGTAGATTCTAAATGTACCTTATTTTTGTTATATATTCTGTCAAATAAATTTTATAAATTAAAAACAAGCAATTTTAGTGTTAATAGAGCAAAAAAGAAAAATCCACTCGTGCGACCGAGGTTTGTTGAGAATTAATTCACCTTGATACTACGTGTTTGCGTGTTGTTCCCACGGTAATATAAGCGATTCCATTTTCACCGTGCCTTGCTGATAGAGATGAAACGTTTGGGTTTGTTATTAATAAATTATTTTTAATTTAATTGAAGGAATGAACTGTTTATAACATTTTATAATAAACGCCTTGGCGATTTAAATTGGTGACAGAGTTTTTTTCAGTTCTTTTCGTCCTTTCTACGCCCTTAATTTGAAAATAAGCAGAAATTTTAAATTTAGAAGCATTAATTTATGTATACAAATAATAGATTAAAGGAACCGTGCCAAATTGTACATTGGCACGAAAGAAGTACATCTTATTGGTCTCGTAATTTAAGATAAATACGGAAGCAATAATATATTAATTAAAAATTAAAGATAAAACCTTCAACTTGTAATATTCTCTTCGCTTAAACTTTTTAAACGCAATAGATTTCAATGCGAAATTATTAAAAGGACGTGAAGATTTATTTCACTAATAACCTCTTTATAATGTAAAACAAAGTTGCGTGTGTATTCTCGCGAAATTCTTCAAAATATTAACAAGCGTGAACCTTTTACAATTAATACAAACATTTTTTTGTTTACCTAATGAGACGTTACAACCAATAATTGCGAGACAGTGTACAAAATTAATTTAAGTATATGTATAATTAATAAGACTTACAATGGTTAAGAACATCACTGGGTATTTGTTTTGTTTGTACCGCACCATTGTGCAAATATCTGGATTAAAACAAGAGAACACGATGCGACGATTGCTCGCATATTTCAATACAACTTCCAATACCTAGAAAAATAAATTATTTTGTAGATTTTTTTGAAAAGTTTGATGTGTCTGACGGAAACATAAATATATATATATATATATATATATATGTTTATATATATATATATATATATATATATTTATGTTTCCGTCACCCTATCATATATATAGATAGATTTTCTAACAAAATTGCATCTTATTAATAAGTCCAATATTATAATTATGTATCATAAAGTTAAAATTATTAGTCATCGTACTGCTCATTCTAATTAGTTATTATTCGTAAAACTCAATTTGGATGATATTTTTTTAATTTTTAATCTTTTGTGCTTTTACTAGTCGAACCATAGACGGTTATTATGACTTAAATAGTATTTCGTTGCGAATATGTTATATAATTTTAATAGTTTGTATTGTCAAAAATGATGAAACATAAATATATATATATATTTATGTTTCCGTCACCCTATCATATATATAGATAGATTTTCTAACAAAATTGCATCTTATTAATAAGTCCAATATTATAATTATGTATCTTAAAGTTAAAATTATTAGTCAACGTACTGCTCATTCTAATTAGTTATTATTCGTAAAACTCAATTTGGATGATATTTTTTTAAATTTTAATCTTTTGTGCTTTTACTAGTCGAACCATAGACGGTTATTATGACTTAAATAGTATTTCGTTGCGAATATGTTATATAATTTTAATAGTTTGTATTGTCAAAAATGATGAAATATCGTATTGGTATACGGATAGCTTTCGTCATTAACACACAACTGAAATATGTACTTTGAATACAATTGCTATATTAATTGCTGTTTTCTGTCATACCTTATCAACATATGTATTCATGTCAAACGGATTGTTCAATTCAAACGTTCCATCTTTCAACTCCATGGTCCATTTGAGTTCAATATTAAAGCCTACATGTTCATCTAATGACTTAAGAGTTTGTTCTAGAGTTGGAAATGGCTGATGTTCTTCTAAATCTTCATCATAAAACAGAGTTTCGTGATTTCGACCTTCAACTAAGTGATAGACCTGTAAATAAGCATTTAATCTCATGCTATCAATTGCTGATAAACTGATACACCGTCCAACTACAGCAAAATTCATACAATTAGCAAATTATAAAGTCTTTACTAATAGCTATGTTAAAGATTACAACTTTTGGTTGGCATGAATTGTGAACTTGAAATAACTACACTTTTTTGTTTTATACAAAATATATTACAATTCTTCTGCAGCAATAGTTTCGGTAATTTTGTATACCTTAAGCTTTTGTAGATGCTCCAAGGTCAAGTCTTTTACAGGCAATTCAAGCATCTCAGAGTAATCTACTTCTCTTTTTCGTTTCATGGAAATACACACATGGAAGTCATGATATATGACTGGTATCATGTCTTTACTAAGTTGCACATCAAATTCAAGCATGTCTGCCCCGCTGGCAGCTGCCTTCTTAAGAGAAGCTATTGTATTTTCCCTTATTGCATTACCCCTGAAAATGTTTATATGATATGGACCAAACAAAGGGCTGTTTTAGCCTCCATAACCAAGAAATAACTGTATTATAAACAATATCAAACAAGTCTTAAAAACAGTATCAGAGTTAAGTCAAGTCATTAATTAATCTTTTACATTTCATGTAAAACATGTTTATCCCTATTTATATAAAACTACAAAAAAATAGACATACTCTTTTGTTTTAAAGCTGGCTCCAAGTCCCCTGTGTCCAACTTCAAGCCCAGTCCAGGATGGATGCCAATGTTTGGCATATGACACTTCAAAATTATTTAGGTTCTCCTCCATAGGTTGTATAATTAAGTAATCAAAATTAATTGTGCCAAGAGGACGATGTTTAATGTTACATGTAACTGGGAGTTCTAAACAGCCTTCAGAAGGTCGAAGCATGTTTGGAAGCACATATGTGTATCCAATATGACATGGAGGGTCTTCATCAGATGCTCTATGGCTGTATGTATAAAAATCAATAAGATATGCAATATTTTGAGGATTAGGAGCATATATGTTTACTAATAAGGTGTCATTGGTTTTATATTCCCGACCAAACTGCTCCTGGGGCTGCAGAGAGCAGAGTACTAGATCATTATCTAACGTAGCAACTTCTACAGAGACCCCAGCAGGAGGTTCATTGTCCACGGTGTCAGCACTCAATGAGGAATCTTCAATATGAGGCTCAACCCCAAAACTCAACTTCACTGGTGTTACTTTTATCTGTACCACTCTGTCATTAAGACGGCTCTTAAGTTTTAAAGGATTGTTAAAAAACTTTAATTGTACAAGAGTTTGCGATGTTAGCCAGCCCCTAATAAGTTGCTGCTTACCATCATAGTCACCAAAACTATCAATAACAGGATGCAACATGTTTTCTTTAATGACTCTAGGTCCAACATGGTTCTCCCAGCGATTGACAGTAACTTTGTTTGCTTCTTCATTAAATGCACACACTATGTAACGATAGAATACATCGTGAGTGTTGGGTATTATGATGGATTTAGACCATATGTTAGTACTTTCATCATAATTTAAAGCAACAATACCATTGAAATCCCACTCACCAAGTTCAGCAGTGCTTCCTGTTATAAATACTTTTTCTTTGGATAAAATATTTGGTACAGTTACCGAAAACAACCAAGATTGAGAAGTTATTTCCTGTTTCTTTGGCGGTGGTACAGACATTCTCTTTGGAATTTTTAATCTCTGTTTTCTACTACGTTCATCTAAAAAAAACCAACGTTGCATACTTACATAGGTAAATGTTAGTATTTTTTATAGATCAGGAAGCGATTTATCTCCCTTTACAAAAGTATACACATCAGAAACATTTCAATTTATCAGTGCATATGAATTATTGTTTACAATTAATTATTCACCTAAAAATTAAAACCAACTCGCATGAAGATTGCAAATTTGTTTTTCAAGGTTTTCGAAACGTCAAAACGAATTATAATAATCACCTGAGATAACACACTTCACAGATTAGTTGCCTACGATTTTATTTCATTAATTATTTATTTAGAATAGATTACTTATTGTTATTACAGTATACACAATACATAATGAGCAGAGTGTAGGATGAAGAATGAACGGATCACAGAGAACAATAAATATTTATATAACCGATAACGTATGTGCTCAGTGTAAACATAATTTAATCGATTTTCATTTAGTTCGATTAAATAACATGGATGTTTTTCGGATGCGATTTTTGTGAAGATCGAGTCACAGAGAATACGAGTCGAACGATTTAATCGATTGAAAATATATTCAACTATCAGATCGCGATTAAAACAATATGGTTAGGTATGAACCTAAGAACAAGAATTTCAGCATACGTAGAAAGTACCAACAGTGTAATCATGTATAGAATAAATAAATTATCTTAAGCATGCATGACGTTAATTTTGTTAAATTAACTGCTGATTTTAGCAATACAAATTTGTATACATTGTCATCAAAGGTAAGTTATTGTTTCAATATTCCAAGCAGAAGAATAACTAAGATCATAATAGAACGATTGCCTTATTAAGTATTCGGCTTAATAAACTAAACCCTTAGTCATAAGAAGATAGAGGTCCGATGAATACCGATGTAAACCGCTACTCGATTTCAGACAAAACCAATAAATAACTTTTAATAAAAAATTACTAGCCTTATTTGCATAGTAATATCGCAAGAAAAAAATACTCGGGTACCTACGTAAGTTAAAACAGGACCAATATTCTTTTACCTGATTTTTATGTATTAGGATGGCGTTAGAATTTACAGGATCAATATATTCCTTCGTGTATATACCTATTATGTAATAAATATATGCCTAGAATTTTCCCTAATATGCTATGGAAAGTTCGTACAAACGTCGTAAAATTGTCTTTTAGACATCTAAATGTAAAAGTCATTAGTTACATGGTATTAAATGTCTAACAGCACATGTTTTAACTTATACCAGTGCATAAATCTGAAGACAAATGTATCATACGCAACTTTGGCCAATGCCAATTTTTAGTCTAATTACTTTTGCTCAAGTATTATAACGTGTCATATACAATAAAGTTAACAGTTTTATAAAATCTATACTTATTCAAGAACAGCATGGCTTTATATCTCATAAATCTACTATCTAATCTGAATAAACTTATTTTATTTCTGAGGCAATGGATAATAATAGAATACAAGTTGATGTCATCTATAGTCTAGTCGACAAGTTGAAAATGGTACAAAATGGAGATACTGCTCTTAAAATTATGTGCGATAGCTCATTGGATCCGGAATGACGTCTAGAAAAATGTGCCAAAAGCGTGTATTAGCACATAAAAAATTGCAAAAGTTATAAACAATTAAAGATGTAAAAAAAATGGCATTTCGTTTTTTGCCAATATTTGATAAACTATTAATAATTAAGAAATTTCAAAGATTCTGAAAGAAGAGGAAATTTCCAATAAAAAACTCCTAACTCCCGGAACTCTATCTCCATTATTTATAATTTTAATTTAACGCTGAAAATAGGTCTGCGCGTGACACTTTTAGGATGCGCGCGTGGCGTCAAAAGCGAGTACAGCACATTAATTAATTTATTTAAGGTATTGAATATTTTTTTTAAATTTGAAAAAATTATGGTGTGTTCTGAGCACTATAATTAATTTATTCCCGTTGGAAATTTTACTTAAAGTTAATTTTTCAACAAGTTAAACAATTGTTAACTAACGAAATTTTCTCGAACTACCGTCTTAATTGTAAGTGAAAAAAAATGTTTAAATAATGCTCGTAAAAATTTTCGCTTCGTAGAGCCTTTCTTACATACATACTTAATAAGATCGTGCCATAAAAGTTAAAAAAATATTTATACTTCGATTATAAAAATCTTTTACTTAAACAAAAACTAAAAATCCAAGTAATGTTGTTTAATATACATGGGACTTGGGAGCTTGATGAGAACGTCTTACATTTAAAATGGTACACAGCTCAGCAATTAATGGCTACCACTGTTAGGGCCTTATCTCACTGGCGAAAGCGACGCGACTGCGCGGTGTAGTCGCCATGTTGTACACTCGCCCACAAAATAATTAACTATTTACTCTCTAGTCTCTACTCGCCATGGCGACATTGCATTGTGGTGATTAGTGACGTTTGCTACCTGCTATTGGGTGAAACCGGTTTGGGGGTTTGTGTTTAACAGCTTGTAAAATTTAAATATTTTTTTCTCGATAAAAATATGTTTCCCCGATTTTCATGTGTAACAAGAATCACACTGTATATTAAAACGTACCTTAAAGTAATAACGAGCCTTTCTTCTAGCTATCACTCTTAAACTATATTAGTGCCATGAGGCGTGCCCCAAGGATTTTACCCTTGCCCTTTACTATTCGCCTTATTATCAATGATGTGCCAGCTTATCTTAAAAATAATATCAAATATATTTTATTTAATGATGATCTACATAATCGAGAGAAGTTAAACGTCATTAAATAGCATGTAGTCTTAAATGTGATTTCTTACCACATTCAAAACCTACTTAGTTCGTTAAGATGCTACAAGAGACACCTCAGGGTAATTCTTGATCATAGATTATGATAGATTTTACATTAAGCTCCTCCACATTTTTTAGAAACGACGACAGTTACATAATACAAATATTAGTAGGTACTATAATCCTATATAAATCACTGTAATGTGCCACCGTCTCCAAATTAAAAAGATCATTGACAGTTCAATCACATTATAATTTTTAAAAATATTTTCTTGTATTTTTGAAGTTATACTTCTTTAGGCGCGTTATGAAAAATTGATGAGAGTGAAATTTTACGATGCGCGCGCACCTGAGACACATAGTTGTCAGTGTGATTATAGCGTGCGCGAGCGAGATGGGAATAAGACAATCTAGAAGTAAAAAGAAATAGAATATGCGTGAAGTTAGCAGCTATGCCAAGAATTTTGAATGAACATAATGACATTTACCTTTTAAACAAATAAAGGACTTTTAATTATTTTTTCAAAGAAATTTAGCAAAGCTTTTTCACAAAGACCTGTTGTTACTTAGTTAAAAGGTTATGAAACATACGTAGTTAAAAGTTAATCCGGTAAAAAGTTTTTTCTTTAAATGTGTAAAGGTTATGTCAATCAAAGACAATACAACATACGTAGTTATTAAATTGAATGAATAATATAATAAAATAATAATAATTATTAATTAATAATTGAATAATACTAAATATTATTAAATTATTAACGTTAAATATTTGTTATTAATGATTTAATATTTAAAAAAAATAAAGAAAGCCAAAGAAGTATAACTTCTTACGCGCGTACATAAGTACAGGCACCCTTTTTTTTTAAAGAATGGAAGTTTATGTTTAGACAATTTTTTGACAAGGGCTTCTCGATAGATTTTAGAATTACTATGCTAATTTGTATACTTAGTTCTAGTAGATTTTTATTCCAAAAATCCGATCGAACAAAAACATATTGCACTTTTATAAGGGATCAATTTCAAGAAAATATTTGAATATTATATTGATCAAGTTACAGAACATCAGATCAATTGCAATTAAAAACAATAAACTAAATAATAAAACCAGTCGTGCTGCAGACTTGACCTCACTGGATTTTTGAAATTTTAGTCTAATTGTTTTTAAATAGATAAGTGATCTGTCTTCTGTTCCTGGCACACACGGATGACTTTTTGGGTCTATGACGGTTTCCTCCATGTTTCTTTAGACCGTAGAGCGAGTCTTAAATGCGCACATAGACAAAGTCTATAAAGATGGACAGTCGGGGTTCCAACATAAGACGTTAGGTTTGAGAGGAGGGCGCTCAAGTCACTAGAGGTATCATAACGAAGGCATAAGTAGAAATTTAAAGAAAAACATGAATAATATGTAGTTTTTTATGTGTATCATTATAAATAACAACCTCATTAATGTTATGTACTTACAACTTTTTTTATCTAATCACTTATTACTAATTATTTACACAGGACAGTCTTTTATCTTTACAATAAAATAAAAAAATACATCTAGCTCTTATTTACAAAAACAAATTTTATGGTTATTTGTACAACTTAAAATGGACAATTCACTCCTGGATGCAAAAAAGTACAATTGTCACCTTGTCGACATGAGCCTTTTCTTTGAAAGTAAATACAAACAGTTTTACGTCCACCCCCGCGACCACCACGACCTCTTTGCGACATGTCCCAGTTACCAGTAGCCGCCTTTCCTCGCCAACCACCTGAGCCACGACCCCGCATAGCTCCACGGAAATTGTTTGGCCCGTTAAAACCATCGGGCCCAGGAGGACCCTGAGGTCCGCCCATATTAAAATCAACTGGAAACATATTTTGTTGAATATTAAATCCATCAGGACCAACAGGGAACATGGGGTTTGGTGCTCCAAACATTTCTGGACCCATCATCATATTATCTGGAGGTACCATCATACCCGGTGGTAAGTTACCGGGTGGCATTGGTCCCGGCGGCATACCCGGGGTCGGCATTTGTCCAGGCATACCGTTTGGCATCATGGGTGGCACTCCATTTGGCCACTCACCGGGCATCATTGGGGGTCCTGCGAAACTAGGCATTCCTGGAAATTGTGGGCCTGGAAAGCCATTTGGGAACTGTGGTATATTCGTTGGGAATAGTGGAGCGACATTTGTATTATTACTTGCCGTATTTGGAGGAGCATTACCTTTTGGCTCTGGCCATGGCATATTTCTAAAATCACCCACATTATCCTGATTACCTGTAACATCCTCCAATGGTATTATTGTTGGTTCTGAGTATGTGTGCGTTTCAGGATCAGGCTCAAGAGGTGAATCAGGAATCATTGACTTATAGAAGTATAGTGGCTGTAATGTTACCTTTTCCCTTAATGCTTGTATATCTTTTTCTTTGCTATTTTTGCCATACTCAACTGGAGTTTGTCCTTCAGCATTTATTAAAACTAAAGGTTTCCAGCTAGTTTTCTCTTCCATAACATCGTCATTTATGAGATTTCTTGCCTTTTCGTATGCTTCTCTTTCATGTATTCTGTCCAAGTATTTCATATCCGTAAAAGTTTTCGTGACATTTACTCTTTCTGTTTCATCTAGTTCAAAGTACTGCACCTCTTCCAATTCTGAATCTGGTTTCCATTTGATGCTCTTTTTGGGACCTTTTCTTTTGTGATAACAAAGGACACCTTTCAAACCATTTACTGTTAATGTATGTGGTTCATCAGTCTCCATTTTACTATCACTACTTGTAACTGTAGAGCTTTCGGTGTCTTCCGATGTTTTTTCCTTCGCCTTATCTTCATTATCCAAGGTATCTTGATAAAACTTAGGGGGTACTGACTTGCCCTCACTGCTTGGACTCGTTATGGTTGGTGTGTGGGGAGGTGATCCATCATTTGCATTGCCATCCTTAGAACCGCTCGTGCGTCGTTTTCTTTTCTTTGGTTCTTTCTTGTTTGTTGCAGAAGCATTCAAAGCATCCATGAACATATCACTCTCTTGTAAAACCATGGCTGTAAAAAAAAGTTGGTAATTAACACATTATAATCTCATTATATAATTACTCTTAACGGTATAAATTAATGTACACATAACACAAACATCGAAGTTAAATAATCATTATTTTTCAATGTAAATCTAAAATGTATAAAAGCGGGCTATATAAAATGTATGATGTTACCACTGCGTAACGACTACCTTTAATAGTTGTAAATGGTAAGACTTAGTCATAACTCGGCAGTTTAATCCAAGTTCATACTTGTATTTTTAATAAATATATATCAGTATACTAGAATCAAGAACTAAAAGGGGTAAAAGACAGCTTTATATTTTAACTGGTCAATCGTACGTACGTATTGCGTAATTTGTATATAAACATTATTAACGTTTACTAGTTTAAATCTGTTAAAATAATACAAGTGGTAATTTTGAAAATCGGATGAGCAGTTTATGCATTACTTTTTTTTTATTAAAATTTGTAACACATTCTAGTATTGCGTTGAGGTCACAAATAAACAATATATTAATCATGAAACAGCGCTTATCTGATCTAAAAAAACTGACTTTCTCCGAAAGTACTGTGTATATTGAATCTAAGACCTCGTCCAAATTTGAACATCCGTTATAAATAGTATTAATTTGTGATGCCGATGGTAGGATAACCGATTTATGAGAACATAACGTCAGTGCTTCTTTCTAAAGGCGGCAAATCTTTTGATATCGTTTGTTAGGCAAGAACTACTGCACAAATTCTATAGTTTTAAAAAGAATAACATTAACATGTGCTACCTTAAGGAAATATAGTATCCATCCATGTATTATTCACTAAAAAAACAAACAGTGAAATCAATAACTGTATTAATTTGAAAGAGAGATTAACGTGAAACCTTTTCAGTTAAATTATAGATATTAAAATAATTTCTATGTTTAGTCAATTTTTTTTTAAATTTATTGAAAATCATATAATATTATACGTATATATGCATATGCCGCATGGCTGTCTTTCATAAGCTTATCAGAAAAATAAGTGAGAATTCCTGTAAACAAGTACAAGTCGTCATTACTTGTCCTCATTTTATACTGGTTCTGGTTTATTCCATATTGTTTCGTTACTGTTAGGCATTACATACAATACATAGGCAATACTAAATAAATCTTGTAGGAAGTTTATGATCAGTACTACACAATTATCTTAATTACCCAAAAGCGACTTTTCTCGTAGTTTATATTCGACTAATAATTAGTTTATCCTTAATCTTTTCTACTAAAATTGTACGTATGTAATATTAGACCTAGTAATATGTTATGCATCAGGTGTTCGAAATTTAAACGTGGTTACAGAAATGTCATAAAATATATTAAACTTTATAACGAGATTAGTTCCACAAAAAACAGTAGTCTTCTAATCTTCAAATTCAATAATTATGTTATTAATAAAGATATCTGATCTTATACATCATGTGCATTAGTGTTCTCACATTTAGACCTCATAATATAAATAACATTATGCTTAAAAATTGCATATTTGCCGTTATCTATATCTAATGTACTTGCACGATTTAATATTTTAAAGGAGAGTTACTTCGTGGAAAGCGAAACCTATCTTTGCTTGCACTTATGAAGACACGACACTAGTTAATTATTTACAAGAGTTCCTGTCGCTTTTTGATAAATATGCGATACAACTTATAGTTGTTAGTCTTATTATTATTAACAATGCAATAATAACAAAACAGATGCAACTATAAATTGTTGCTTAAAACTTGAATGATTATAGATAAATGGGTTACTAAATAATAGCCAAACCTAATTCTTTACTTAACAGTCATTTAACTAAAGAAAACTAGCAATTACTTTTGTAAAGCAAAGCATTAATGAGTTGATCCTAAAGTTATACAACGTAAACTGTTTCTCCAAGGCTAGAAACTTTTCAATGTAACTATTGTAATTACATAATATGACACAAAATGACACGAGTACCGCGACTTTCTAAAATATCGAATTTAATCTCTAGTATATGATCTTGCTTTATTCCCTCAGTACGCTAATAGCATCGATCAGGTTATACTTTGATTTGCATAATGAAAAACCGATCCTTACTTACCGTTGTTTTCAAAATACTTTCTCTTTATCTACCCACCTACCTAAGTTAGCAATTACAGGTTGAATGCAACTTTTGGTATTACAAAAAGAAGTAGTCAATGTAGACCTATATTGTTTTCGTTGAATTCAATTTTGACTTTCTAAATAGAAAACGTGTATTAAAAATAAAAATTATGAATCGTCTCATTAAATAAACGTCAGCATGAAAACATTTGATGCACATGCATGACGTATCACATCAAGGTTGATTTATTTAGTTTTATATAAACTAAATGTTACTGAAATTAACTTTTAGTTAATTCAGATAAGAATAAAGCTACATCGTAGAAACCAGCTCACAAGCTTAGTAGAAGTATATAGGGAAAACACGAGAACGCAATAATTTAATCTAGTGAATTTTTTCAACAATTTTGTGTATACCTATACAAATATAACGAGTTCCGACACTTAGTGACTTTTAGCAGTCATCTATTGTTACTTTGTCCCACTAACGTAAATACAATTACGGGTTGGCAATTGTATTTCTTACGACCATTTCAGGATTTTAGGCCTATTATGTTAATCCGGCAAACTGGCTTGTGGCTTTTGCATAATCGAGATAGTAAAATATAGGGAGGTCACTGGACTCACAGCAAGTTTTCCGATTAATCTTTAGACCATTACTTTATTATTATAGGATCAGTTTATAGAAAATGACAACTGTCGTTTTTAATTTGCCATGCATTTGTTTTAAAATTTGAATGATACCTTTATCATTTAGTATTGCCTTTGTATACTTAAAATATTTTTTGTTTTATTTTGCAGAAATGTTCGTCATAGATCAGACGCAGTGTGCGGCGTTGTCCCATTGGCTCATCGTCGAGTCTCGGGTCTTCCACAGACGCGTTCCTTCTTTAAACAGATCAGGTCTATTATGGTCAACGAAAGAGAGTAATTCAATTTACCATTTATTTGAAATACCAAATTCTTTACAAGAAATGAAATAAACGAATAACCCGCCGTGCTATACATTTTAGACTTACCATCACGAAAATAAGACTTAAATAAATTATGTGTAATTGCATATAACACCAGTTTCTGTTGATGCCCACATCCTGGAAAAATAAAAAAAGTTAGTAATAAAGTTAAATAGAGATACAAGAAATTATACTTACGTTTTGGTTTAGGCGGAATTAGTTTAATAGCTCCAGGCTTATCCTCTATCTTTGAAATATCCAATGTTTTAGCTTTCTTTTCAGGTGGTGTTTCATTATGAACAGGAGATGGTCTTTTTGGTATTGAAACTGTAGGTGGTAAAGCTGGAGGAGGCTTTTTATTGCTTAAAATTGTGGCCCTTGATGGTGGAGGTTTAATTTCCTCTTCTAAGCCATGGGTCCTGAATTTTGAATTAAACATTTTGACAGTTTTAGGCTTAGGCTCATCAGGTTTCCTAACCTCTATAGATATTGAAGGCTTATCTTTTTTAACTTCACTTAACTTTGGAATCTTTCCTAACTTATGAATGGAAGGAACAGTTTTCTCAGATTTCAAATTCTCCTCCTTTATTTTATCCTTCTCTTCCTTGACTTTATCACTTGACTGTTTAGATTTGTCATCCTTTGACCTACTGCTGGAAGAACTCGATTTTTTTGAGCTGCTGCTGCTACTATGTTTAGACTTAGAACTATCAGATGAATGTCTACTTTTGTCTCTATCTCTTTCTTTGTCCCTAGATTTTTCTTTACTGTCACTATGTCTACTAGATTTATGTTTGTGCTTATCATGTGACAATGACGAAGATGATTTACTTGAATGCTTTGACCTGGAAGAACTACTGCTACTACTACTTCTTCTATCTGATTTATCTTTGTCTTTGCTTTTTGTCTTCTCTTTGGATTTTTCTTTAAAAGGTGAATCTTCCTTTTGGCTATTGTCAGGATGTACTTGTGAAATTATCTGTCTACCGTTCTTTAAACTTAATTTAAGTATAGGAATTGCTTCTTTTTCTCTCTCTGGTATTTCATCTTTAACTTGTAAATGATTTTCAGAATTGTCAGGAGGTTCTTTTTCTTCTTTAGGAGGTTTTATGTTCTCTACATTTTTATCTATAACAGTATCATCATCTTGTATTATATCAGACTTTACCTCAGTCTCCAAAATTTCTGTTTTACTAACTTCCTGCTGAGCATTAGAAATAATTTCAGGTATATCTGTTATTGAGATTGGTGTAATTTGCTCTCCTTTTACAATTTTTAACCACTGCTCCACTAACTTTGAAGCTAACACTCTAATATCTGTAACAGAAATTTACTTTTACAATAATTGTTTGTGTATTTAATAATTTTTATTAAATTTAACTTACCAAAATTATTTCCATCCTTAGATAGTTCTTTTATGAGTTTAGGATTGTTATTTGTTTTCAGACGTTCTATGTCTACAGGACAAAGTAAGAGTAATTCTAACAGTTCACGTACTAATGGCCAATTTTTTGCAACAATGCTCTCTGTCAGCCACATGTGTACTAATCTCCATCCACCACAACCCATGAACAAAGTCAATAGCTCTAGGTCAGTACGTTTGAGAATCTGTATATAGATACATTTTGATACTAGCTTTTTTGAATACTTTCTCATTAATCTGAAAATAAAAGTAAAATTTAGTTGATGAAGTTTTCCAGAGTTTCATCACTGGAACACACACTAAAGGATGCCCATGAGACTATAACTAGTATTAAACTTGTCTACATCTAAAATTGGTAAGCAATGCAATTTTCAAATTGAAATTAATAATCACTTTTACATTAAAAGAAAAATTATAGAGGATTTTAAGCACAAAATAATTAGTGACTGCCACTAATTATTACACAGCAACAAGATATTTTAACAACCACCAATATAGAGGTAATCAATTTTAACAATTACAATGATGTAAGTATACATTGTGTTGGCTATTATTTAACAGTTTACTACAAACTACTACTGCTTCTGATTATATTAATTGAGATAAAAAGGAATACTAACTCAACAAGTGTATAAATAACATCCCTGCATTTGATGCCACCGCTTGGTGAAAGGAGAAGACTTAAACAGTTCAGCAACCTCAATGGCTCCATACGAGGCTGTAACAAATAAATAATTTTTACAAAATGGAAATAAAAATTAAGAACTGGAGTGATCTCTTTCAGGCCAACCCAGGACTAACATTGCTCTCATATTCTGTACAAAAAAATGTGCAATCTAGATGAATAGATTCTGGTGGTGTCACTTTCAAGACCATAAGGAATTAAATATACAACACTATCCTGAGCAAAAGTATTTACTAATTTTTTTCTAACAGTTCATGAACATAAGTTTGACAGTGACAGATTCAGAAAAATCAAAAGTACTACACTTACACCTTGATTCATAAAAACTAAATTATGCTTATGGCACAATTTTAAACAAAGTACTCACCTGTCTCTTTTCTCATGAAGTTAGCATGAACCCAATTAGAGAGAAAGAGATAAATGAGTACTTTAGTTAAGAGTGCAATTTTGTTAAGACTGACTGTTTTGTCATTATGAATTAGGTGATTATATTTGTGTTATGAATTTATGATGACAAACAATGAAAACAGCTTAGTTTAATAAATCCCTATAAAACTAAGAGCTAAATGGCACATGTAAATTATTTAAAAAAATTAACATTGTTTTATATTTTAGAATTAGAAATTACTGACATCTTAGGCCTTAAGAATTACAATTATCTGATAAAGTATCCATTAAATGTGTTGAATAATATATAAACCACAATTTATTATAATTTATGTCCAGAAAAGTCTCATGTCAATCATTTCGTAAAACAAAGCTTAATTGTAAATCAAAACTGCTTATAGAAAGGAACCTTAAGATTCTACACAATGTTAAAGTGACATAACTATGAACTGAATTTTGTTCTTGTAATTTCATCCCAGAAAGTAATGACTTAATCCAGAAATTATTTAAGAATAAATCATTACTTATAATAGATTCACATATTAACATTAAAATGATATGCCCAAAACTGTAATCATGTGGTAGTTTACCATTTTCCCTATGCGTTTGTATAGATAGCGAGCCTTAGAAAACAACCATGGCTCATGGTCAGATTTTTTATTGTGTATAATAAGATATGCTCATGGGTCTTGCATGTATCAGATTTAGACTTAGATAAGCAGATACACAAATGACCAGTAACTATTTCAACAAATTCAAGATTTTTCCCTCTCAATGTCATAATTATTATACACCCTGGTGTATGGATAAAAATGCACAATTTTATAGTATGCATAAGATTAGTTTTATATAATTCTGGAAAGATATCGTTTTTACCGGTCAATATTAGGTTTACGCGACTGGCAACCCTGAAATCGTGTTGTGTGTAAAAGATGCAAGAACAACTTCTTTTAAATTTTAATTCGACTCAATTCTTTAAGGAATATAATTTATTCCTAAATATATATATATAAATGTTATAAGAAATCGTAAATATAATTTAAAATAAGCTCAATTGATACATGTCATATGTATATCAAACAAATAGTATATTTTGAATATAAATGCAATTCCTAAAGTGTTTGCAATATTACGAAATACCTACAAAGAGCCATATTTTACGACTTACGTAATCAAAAGTATTAGGGTTTTCATTCTTTGGTTAACATTAAGAATTCGACAAATAATTCTTGATAAATCAATAATACCAACTAACTTACCATCTTCTAAAGACTGCGTAATGGTTTTCAGACGTGGCCGAGATGTTGCACTAAAAAGTGCCACGCCTTGCTTGCGATACAAAATGGCGGCTCATTGTTCCAAATAACTTTTATCACAAAGGAAACCACTAATTCATAGTTCAATGAGTTCGTTATTAATGCATTAACCACATTAACAATTATTCAATATTATTCGATTTCACTAAATAAATCTTATTACTCAACTATTCAATCTGCCTTAAAGCTACGTCCATATATTGCGTTGATGCAATGGAGTGTATTTCATATTATGTTTAAGGATATAATTTTTAAAACACAGCCTATTCCTAATTTTACAAATAATATGAGCTATTGAAAGCTTTTATCTTCCAACCGGTAGAAAGTGTACGTCTTCCCACCAAGGCGTTCCGCAGAAGTATGATGAAAAAGTAAAACATGAGAAAGGAATTCGAAAAATAATATGATCGGAGGCGTTTGGCGACTTGGCAGCTCAATGTCACGACTCGTGACGTAAGTTTAAACGTCTATTGTCTATGTTCTATTTGCGTAATGTATTTTTTTTCTGCCTTTGGAATAAATAAATTTAATTACAAACAATTTTCTTTACTAAAAACAACAACAAACCTTAAAATATAATAACTAAAAGACATTATTATTCAAGATATTATTATTGAAGTTCTTTAGGCGCATGAAATTTTACGGATGGAAAGCAATAATAATAATATTAGCGTCACGAAGATGTGCAATGTTTTTGTCGAAGAAAAGGGAGAGAGGGATTTAGACCAATTGAGAAAGAGTGAGAAGGGCGAATTACCTTATAAAAATTCTATTTTAAAATTAAAAATTCCTATAGATAATAATTTGTGACTTATTACTTATAAAAGAAAGCTCAGACACTTTTAATATTTTATTTTTATATAATAACTACCTGACCCGGCAAACGTTTGTTTTGCCATGTATATTATTTCGAGGAAAAAATTTTTTTAGTGCAATAAAAATAACTATTTAGTACTAACTATAATAAAAAATAGAGTTTGATGGAAAAGGGTTGACAAATGGTTGTATGTATTTTTATATGCTGTATCATAAAAAAAAAGGGTGCGTGTACTTATGTACGCGCGTAAGAAGTTATACTTCTTTGGCATTATTCAAAATAGTTTTTGATTGCATGCAAATAATTAATTACAATTAAATAATCAAAGACTGGAAAAGGAGTCATTATAGTCAATAAAGTTCAGTTTTCATTTGAAAAATTAAACAAATAATTATTTATTATTATTCTCTTACATTAAGTGTAACATAAATTATTATTCGAATGTTGTTTTTAAATGAGGTACGTCCAATGCCGTAGCATCTTCCGTGGGCAACTTCATACTGATAATTTTGTGTAACGGTGCGCGCGCTTCGTAAAATTTCACACTCATAAATTTTTCATAACGCGCCTAAAGAAGTATAACTTCAAAAATAATAACAAAAAGCTTTGCCTAAAAAATAATTTAAATAAAAATTTAGGGGATTCTCAGACTTACTGAATATGCGAATATAAGAATACATTGCAATCTCTTTATAACGAATTTCAAGGGACCGAGCATTTGCTTTCGGTATATAGAGTTTGCGTTATAAGCATGGAAGAAAAAAACACCAAATTTAACCAATTACTTTAACATATAACGCTTTTCTTTGACTGGCCATCTTGACAGTTTCAAAGTTTGTTTACGACTGATATTACACGATAGGCGACGATGGTGCGTTTAGTAACTGAGATCAAAATTTCCTACAGGCAATGTAATGTAAGAATAATGGCACAATTAATAATAACAAAGGCGAGACGGCTGTTTATGACCTCAGGTGTCTTTCTAGAAATTTGGTGGTCAACTCACATGGTTAGTTTTGTAAGCTGATTATAAAAACAATTACACTTAAGTATGTTGTTAATGTCTAAATTTGAAAATATTTCTTCCTAATAGAGAATAACTGTTGCGTTAAACATGTATGGGTTTTGTGTTAAACCAAACAAATTTAAATATTTTTTTACGTTATAGAGATTTTATACTTTATATTGAATGACGTTATAAAGAGTTATACTTTATATAAAAAATCATAAGAATCGGTCGAGCCGTTTCGGAGGAGTATGGGAACGAACATTGTAACACGAGAATTTTATGTTTAAGATGCATTAATTTGCAATTGAATAGAGAAACCAGCTTTTAGAACCGAATTTCTCTGCCACATGCGCTTGGGGGCTACAGTACAACAAATTTGTATTTTATTTATTTTTTCTTAAAGAGTAATAATATCAGCATCTTGGTTACTGTCATTGCCATTCTTTCTTTTAGCATAGGTAGTTCTGCCATATTTTCCCATTTTTCTATATAGCTTTTAGGCTTTTTAGTCGTGGTACTATATTACTTGTCCGAGGTATCTACGGCAATCTACGGCAACAATCACTGCGATGAGGTCATATACTTAAACAGCCTAACGAAGTTATTCCGACCGCAAAGCATATATACAATTTCTCAGCCAGTCAGTGGTTAGAATGGTCGAGGGTTCTCCAACATTCCTAGCTAACAACTGTCGACACGAGCTGTCATTTTGAAAGAAATTAAATTTTCGAATTTCTAGTTTCTACATACACTACTATTGTCTGTTAACTTAACAGTGTTAAGGCCTCTTGTCATAAAAAAAATAAAACAATTATAGTCATAATATACTATATACTATAGTATGTAGTGCGTGCTGGGGCCTTAGTCAAGATGCCTTAACAGTAGTGTATGTAGAAAGTCGAAAACTTAATTTGTATGGAAATGACAGTTCGTGTCGAAAAGTTTTCATACAAATTTAGTTTTTGACGTTCTACATACACTACTGTTAAGGCATCTTGACTAAGGCCCCAGGCTAATGCACAAACCGTGCCAGAGCCATAAAAAAAATATAGTGCGTTCCGACTTCCGACAGCTGATGGGTATAATATATAATTAAATGTTTTTTTTAATGTAATTTCAAAGTTAACAATACAGGATTTAAAATAAAAATGTTATCGTCGAAGGTTTTGAATAAGTTATTATTATTAGAATCCTTTAATACATTAACGTTAAGAACATATGTAGATTTTAAACATCCAATTCGAAGAACTATAGATTCTATAACTAATGATATTAACAGTAAATTTTTAAAAAAGGAGGTAAATCCATGTTATCCAGAACATGCAGATGTAGTCATAATTGGGGGTGGCTATTTAGGAAGTTCAGGGGCTTACTGGCTGAAGTCGAGAGCTGGTGAAGGTTTGAATGTTGTGGTTTTGGAAAAAAACTTTAAAGTGAGTACCGTATTGCCTTTGCGTATTAAATATTTATCTAAGTATTTTTTCAATTATATTAAAAATTGATGCTTAAGATGTCTTCAAAATGTGTCAATTTATTTGACTCATTTCTTCTTGAAAGTCTACATAGCAAGCCTAGAAAAATTTACAATTTAAATATACTATGACTAGTATAAAACCAGTTCATTTTGTTGAAATAGCAGTTCTGTGAATTATAAATTTCTTGCTTATAGTAAGTACCTTATACCAGATTTTAGAGGACTATCTTTCAACAGCAAAACACTTTGAAGAGTTGGCCTACTACGGTACTAAGCCAACATTACTCTTTACCAGAAAATATTCTACTTTCTCAGTTTAGTGCAGATTTCTTAAGAAACATAAAGCAAAAGACAAACAAAGATGTAAATATTAAGTTTTATCCCCATGGATATCTAGTTTTAGCAAGTGATAAATATGCTGATAATTTGGAAAAAAATGTGACTACCCTTAAAGAATTTGGCATAAGGAATGAGCTACTATCAGTTGATCAATTAAGTAAAAAATACCCTTGGATCAACACTTCTGATGTTAAATTAGGTAAATATTAAGTTATGGATATAAATTGTAAAGGGACTTATAACATGAGTTATCATCATGTACTGAAAATGTATTAGTTAGTATCAGATATTGTTACTTTTTAAAACATAAATTAATATGTATGGAAATTGATTTTGTTTAAATTTTAGGTTGTATAAGTACGGAAAATGAAGGTGTATTTGATTCTTTTGCTTTACATCAGGCTTTAGTTAAAAAATCACAGGAATTGGGAGCAAATTATGTTCATGGGGAAGTAGTTGGATTTGATTTCGAATACCAGAGGGATGTTTTAATGGAGGGTGTGAAGCCAATGTCATATGAAAAAATTGAAAGAGTTGTTTATAAAACAGAAGATGGTGAGAAGCATTCCATTAAGTTTGCAGTTTGTGTGTTAGCAGCAGGAACAGAGTCATCAAATATAGCAAAATTAGCAAATGTAGGCAGTGGCAGTGGCCTTCTATCATTGGCTTTGCCTGTAGGTAAAAGGTTAGCAAAATTTTTATCTGCTAAATTATTTGAAGATAAGCTTAGGATGTTTAGATAAAATCGATTGCTTCATGACTCCCTGGTTTTAATATCTGTTGACTTGTTTATTACAGGGCATCAAATATATATTCCATTGAATGCAGTACTGAACAATCAAACATTGGATTAAATTCACCAATTGTAATGGACACCTCAGGGTTATGTATTAGAAAAAATGGACTACAGAAAAACATTATATGCAGTCAAATACCACTGAAATCAGATAATGTTATGACTACAGAGGAAAATTTTGAAAGACTTTTAAAGCCTTCATTAGATAATCGATTTCCAAATTTAACAAATGCAAAGGTTTGGTTAATAATTATGTTATATGAAATGTTAGAATAAGAAAGAATACTTGCAGGTGATGAATGCAACATATTTCCCATCATGTTAAACAGAAAATAACTTAGTTTCCAAGGAGAAAAAATCTAAATAAATATTTGTGTTTTAGATACAGCATTGGCATGGAGAAGTCTATGATTGCAACAATTTTGATGATTCTGGAATTTTAGGTGCACATCCCTATCATACAAATCTAATTTTTGCAACAGGGTTTGGAAAGTTGGGTGAGTAAAAAATAGAGATATCATTTATAACTTTTCTACTTGGGCAAGAAAAGTTCAAGTACCACCGTTTTCTGTCTTTCAAAATGAAACAATAATTTTTTTGAGAGTTGCAGATGTTTTTAAGGCAGATTTTTGTTTTTTAATTTTTAGGTGTTCATCATGCACCTGGTATAGGAAAAGCGATATCTGATTTAGTCATTGACTGTCAGTACACAGATACAGATTTAACAAGATTTGGATTTGATAGACTATTAATAAATGAACCTCTAATAGAATTTAATGTTTATTAAATTAATATATAATCAAATTTTGTTTTCATTATAGTAAACCTTAAAAATAACTATAACAAAACTGTAATAACTTAAAGGTTAAACAATCTAAATGGAACATTGGAATTTAAAAATAAAATGTATTATTTAAAATAAATTATTTATTTGAACTGTCCAGGTGGTGCCGCAAATAGTGCACCACCTTGTTTAGATGCTGCTCTAGATGGAGCAAATCCTAAAAGTTTTTGAATGTTTTGCCTGAAATAAAATAAAATTATTCTTAGTAAATATTATTTGCAATTTCAAATTGTATATGTATATAGAAATAATAAGAATAAAGTTTAAGCTAATACTCTTAAAGGAATTACCTACCGTATACTCATCGTACATAATATATACAAGAATATAAATGAGCAGTCAGTGTAATCATCACCAGGTAAATTTCTGTGGCTCAATCCTTGTATCCAAGATATAGGATGGAATGGCAATTTAGCTACAACCCTACCATCAAATCTGAAAATGATTTCAATAAGTAAGTTTACATGTAAAAAAAGTAAAAATTCTTAAACTTAATTTTAGGGTCAAAATGGCTCAACCAACTAGACAATCAAGACAAAGATGAATGATGCTTATTTTACTTACATACTATTAAACATGCTCAGAAGTGCTGTAAAAGCAAAACCAATAGCAAACATTGACTTCATCTTGTCCAATGATAAATCTCTATTATTATTCTTTAGACGTTCTTCCTCACGCTCAATCTTTTTTTTGTGTTGTTTGTCTAATGAATCCCCATGTGCTTCTTTTCTACGCTCCACTTAAAATATGAAAAAAAAGGTTTAACATAAAAAGAAGTAATTAATGTATTTGTAAATCAAACGGTAAAGTGTAACTTACATTTCTTACTCTGACGTTCAACTTCCACCTTTAACTTTTGATATTTTTCAGTTCTATATACTAAAATCCAAGTTAGACCTGAAATTTAGATATATTTTTTTACAAGTTGTAAAGTATATTAATAAGGTAAGTCAGTCTGAACCAGTTTTCAGTGTTGGAATAGTCAGACTTGATTTCGGTTTATTTATTAATTGACAAGTTAGGCAATGATAAGGCGCAAGGTAGCTGTCCAATTGCACACACCGCTCCCCGTAATAAGGTTCTTAAATTTTGGTCCAAGTTTAGGTCAAACTATAATTGTTATAGTCATTCGCTGGCGTTTTTTAAGTTATGCATGTAATGAGAATAACTACTCGTACTACTAGTTAAACTACTCTTATTGTAGCGAAGATATTACATACTCTTTCAGGCTTACCTTCTCCCAAGAGTGCTGTACAAATGGAAATAAAGACAATTAATAAGGAATCGCCCCACATAATTTTAAATTGCAATTTTTTCTTATAAATTAACTATACTAATATTTAGTATTAGTGAGCCCAATAAAATTCTATACAAGAGCTATTTAATTAGTATTTGACATGGTAACTGGGAAGTGGGAAAACTTTTAGGTTACTATTGTCAAATCTCACAACCATTGTGACACAGTGGTCCACAGGCAGTAGATCAAGTAGAAGGAAAAACTTAAACACTGTGCTGATGAAATGATATCAGAAATAATATGCCAAAGGCAAAGTAAGGCATTGCATATATTTTCGTTTCACATATGTTCAACTTTTTACTTTGATTAGTCAGTGTTATTCAGATTGAGAGTAAATTAACAAATTGAACTTTCGTTGCGTTTGAGTATTCTTGTTGGTATTCTATTTTACTAGTTGTGAGTTGTCAGTTGTCATTTGTCACTATTTGTATATCAAAATTCAAAATCAAATTTCAAAACTCTTAAACAATATTGAATTACTTATCCACATGTTTTGGCTAACTCCGCTAAAACTTATTTTAAGTCATAATGCTTTAGTTGATTAATATAGTTAATTGAAAGTTGAAACACTTAAATTTGACTTTGAAGCCAGATGTTTTGTTTAGTTAATAATTAGAGATGAGTTGAATTTTAGATAATTTGTTATTGTACTTTGAAGGCATGGATTCTAAGTATGCATCGTATGGTAAGGAGAAAGATCAAAGAAATAAATTTGATATCAAAGCAAAAAAAATTAAGCTATCTGTTGATGGTAATAGTTTCAAAAATGTAAAAGAAAACAATCAGGCTAATGGATCATGTAATAATAACACTGTTAGTGCTCTAAATGAGGTTTCGGAAGATGTTCAAGACGTAAGGAAATCTTTACCAGTGTATATTGTTCGAAATAGGTAAGGTATAAATAACAAGTAAATATTTATTATTACTTGTGTACATTGGTGATATCTATATGTTTTACTAAAGTTAATAAATAAATCACATATTTATGTGCTTCTTAGCATATTTTGGGTCAGAATAGGAGTTCAATATGCTTTATTTTTGGCCCAATCATGTTATATTGTAAAGGCAATTTTTTTTTAGAATTTTAGAGGAGATACGGAAGAATAATACCATGATATTAATTGGAGAAACAGGTAGTGGTAAAACAACACAGATACCACAAATTTTACATGAACAGAGACTTGAGGGTAATGGAGCAATTGCCGTTACTCAACCAAGAAGAGTTGCCGCTATTACCCTTGCTCTAAGAGTTGCAACAGAAATGAACACAGAAATAGGATCATATGTCGGGTATTTAATTTTTTATATTCAAATGAACATTTTGTATAAGCTTGTACTGTTATAGTAAACACTGTTTATTTAGCTCATAGGTTTTATTGTTAATATATAGTATTCAAAAATTTCTGTTGAAGTATAATATAGTATTAGTATTGTGCTTTTATTTTTTTCCACAAAAATTGTGGAATGATAGGTTATTTTAGAAACTGGTCAAGAATATATGAAAGGGGCTTAAATGCAATGGGATATACACTCAACCAAGGATGCAGAAAAAATACAATAATATTATATATGGTACTTTTATATTTGCTTGCAGGTACTCAGTAAGATTTGAAGATGCTACCAGTCCAAAAACAAAAGTAATATATTTGACAGATGGAATGCTATTAAGGGAAGCTATAATAGATCCCTTATTGAAGAAATATTCAATAATTATTTTAGATGAAGCCCATGAAAGAACAGTCAATACAGATGTACTCTTTGGAATTGTTAAGTTGGCACAAAAAGAGAGAAATTGTAAAGGAAACAAACTCAAGGTAGGCTGTATGTAAATTTTTTAATATGAGGTAAAAACATAAATAATTTTGTAAACCTCATACTTGTACTTAAACCATTCCACTGTTTGCTTTTTCCCACAACATAAAAACTGCATGCTGCACACAGCTGGTGTTTTAATGTAAGATCCTCCTCTAGGACTATGCTCTCCACTACACTAGTTAATTCTAAATAACATGAAATAAATGTTTTTAGGTTATAATTATGTCAGCAACAATGGATGTCGATACATTCAGAAATTATTATGACAATTGTTCAGTTGTTTATTTAGAGGGAAGGACATATCCAGTTACAATATATCACTCAAAGACAAAACAAGATGACTATCAATATTCTGTTGTGTGTGCTATATTCCAACTTCATGTTACTACACCAGCTAAGTAAGTTGTTTGCTTTTGCAAATAAAAAATTAATAGTATAAAACTATGTAGTACTTATCTTTATCATAAAACATAAAGAAAATGTAATGAATTTGCAATGTTTTAATTTTTTTTAAATTATACATTCTAAAACAATGTGTATGCCTAAAAAATACAAAAAAATATGACACCACATACACATCTATTACATTAGAACATAAGCAATCTATCGAAAGAAAAAACTAAACAAACAACCACAAAAAAAAACTAAAAATTAATAATAACTAAAACTAAAAAGATAAAAAATAACAATAACAGTAATAAAAAAACTAAATGAAAACTTAAACCACATTAAGAGCCTGCAAAACAATGTTACGGTAACTTGGTAGACTGTTGTAAAACACATAAATATGTTATATATCAATGTTTGTAATTAAGTTGTAAGAGCGAGATAGCCTATTCACTGGACCATTAAAAGGAGCCGTAGGTACATATAGAAGACTTTTAAATGTGTTAAGAACGAAACCTTTTTATTACATGCAGATTATTTCAACTGTTTCTCTTAAAATATTATGCATATACTAAAGTTAATATTTCCTTTGCCAATATATATTTTTAACATTTTTAATATTTACTTTTTGTATTTTTCAGTCACCATTTTCTCGTATTCCTCACAGGCCAAGAAGAAATAGAAACAGTAATGGCTAATATTAAACAAATTGCGAAGGTAATTTGTGAAAACCTATTCTCACTATTGATTTGTTATTAATTAAAATTTAATGATATCCTAAAAAATGTCATAAGAAATGTTACATTTAAGGTAGTTGCTCCTGTTTTGTTTTTTCATTGATTAATTTTTTGAACGCATATTGTGGCGCCTGTTTCATAATTGAAGCAAAGAATTGTATCTATACTAGGATTTTTAATTCCGTAGAATTCTGACAGCTATCATTTTTTGACATGTCAGTGATAGCAAACCTTTTCTGCCGGGCACATTTCAATTTCAATACGAGTCTGAACATCTGAGTCTATACATATATTTTATTTTTAGTTAATGTATCCATTTCATTAAGTGCGGTGCTCCACATTAAAAGTGGTAATTACGTTCCTTTTCATCACAAACAGTAAAAAACGCACAAGTAAAGATAACATTGAATTTTTTAAAAAGGTTTACTAAGCCTGAAATTAGTAGGCAGTGATGCCAGCTAAAGAATAAAATAAAGTAATTAAAGCTTATTCGATATATTGTGATATTGAAATATTTGTTATTTTTGTATTAGGTCACTTGAGTAAGTAAATATTTAGATTTACCTTTTTGTAGGTAAAACATAAAAAATACGCAGCATTTTTTTTTATTGCCCTCAAGTCGAATTTGTCCCTTTTTCAGCGGAGAACTTTTTTAATAGCAACACTTATGATATGTCCGAATCAGTATAGCAACAATTTTTTTTTGGTGGATACCAAGTTTTTCATTACTTTACCTGATTACAGACTTACGTTAGACATATCTAATAATTTGAATTGATTATTGGAGAATCAATTTAATGAAACCATAGAATTCGACAATGGTCTTTTATTTTTTGAGACTTATTTATTTTTAAATCGTAAAAGTCATATATATAGATATTTACAATATTTTGTATATAGCAAAAACTTTACAGGAGTCGCCAGGTCCACCCATTAGAGTTTGCCCGTTGTATGCAGGCCTGCCTCCGGCAAAACAATTGCTGGTTTGGAAATCAGTACCTGAAGGTACAAGGAAAATTGTTCTAGCCACCAACATAGCAGAGGCCTCAGTGACCATTCCTCATATAAAATGTGTTATTGACACAGGCCTTGTAAAAGAACGGTGAGTTAACTTTTTTAATTTTGCATTCATGTAGATTTAAATACGTAGAAGAAGAGCTATCATCAATACTAGGCTTTCCGTGTGTTGACGATGTTGTACTAGTAGTGAAGTGAATTTAAAAAGGCTACAAAATATTGGGGTATGAGAAAAACACGTAAATAATGAAGAATTAATGTTATATTTAGCAAACATACCGTGTGATAAAACAATCATACTTTATAGATTTGTGTCACTACTGGTAGTACAAAATGGCACAAGGCCTTTTAACCATATCTATTTCTAGTACTTATCAGACCGATTTTTTTAGGAGCTGGTGTAATGTGACGGGTGCAGAGCGCTTGCGAATAGTTCCCTGCTCGCAAGCCGCTTGTTGGCAGCGCGCTGGGCGGGCAGGAAGGACTGCCCCAGGCTCCGCGTACAGATTGTATACGAATGGCGACTTTAAGGCACGGCCACAGCATAACACGCCCGAAATTATTAGGTAAGCCTTTGTTATATTAGGGTTTAAGAATAACTTTATTTCTCATAAGAATTGCATACATAATTCACTTACTGAGAAACAATATGTAAAACTAATATTTAAAAATTAGAGCGCACAGATGTAGGTACGTATATAAAATAACAAAACAAAACAGAAACAAAAATGTGGGTAGACATAATAAACTTGATCAGTCAACCAAGCAAAACACAGATGTTCGATTTATTTTTTTACTAGATGTGGCATTCGCTATTTGTAATATTTATACTTAAATATAGCTTTTTTTAAATACAAACTAACATTTGTTAACATTAACATTTCATAACATTCCTACAAAAATTATGAAAAATAATGGGTAACATGAAGAACTTTATAAGAAGAGGGGTACATATTCCATACATTATTTAGTTAATCTAAAATTTGATTTATTTTAACATTTTAATTATATAACATTTATAAAGCTGATGTCGGATGGTTCACCAGAGGTTTTTGACAAAATCACTTTGAGACAGGCGTGGCCCACTTACGCCAAACGAATTTGTATGAAAATGGTCAGGTGACAAAGCTTGAGGCATTCTCATACAAATTCTTTTGGCGGTAGTGGGTCATGCATTCCTTTTATTATATTGTATACAAATATTTGTGTTTAGAAAACTTGAGCATTGCTTTGTAACTTGAAGACACGGACATGTATCGTTCAATAAAATTAGTATACAAAGAAAGATTAGGTATAGGAAAAACTAATTTTTATTTATTTACGAAAAACCCTAAATCAATAAGAATACATAAATAATAAAATAAGCTAAAGAAAATATACAAATGTAAAAAATTCCTATAGGCACTTATATTACAACTTTTGGTTACCATCGGACAATAAAAGATCCGTTAACCTATCGTAGACTAACATATTGCATAAATATGTAGCTCTTTCCCTTTCGTCTTCTGACGTACCCAAACGACTTTTGTATAAAGACACAACAAATAGCCAAAAACGCAGCGTTATCACACTTAATAATTAAAATTATTTCATTACAGATGCCCTCTGGCTGCTACATTGTTAATGTTAATAGCGACAGGAATGGAGCCCAGTACATTTCCTTTGATTGACGCACCCTCTCCGGATTCCGTGCAGGCTTCATTAATTTTATTGAAAGAATTAGGTATATTTTTGTTAATTTAGTTTTAATTATGAATTGTTTTTACCCGGATAGGGCATAGGATGATGGCATTTTTGGGTTTTTTACGATAGCTTTATGTGGCGATTAAAAAAACTATGGAGAGTTTTTTTCCGTTCCCGTTTTATGCAATTTGATTCGAGAACTTTTAGAAGCATTTTTGAAGTGAAAACTTCTTTAGCGGCGTGGTACACTTTTTTGGAATGGGTAAAAAATGTTAAACTCGCGTCAGGACAAATTCGTAAGACGGATGTTTTTTAAAGGCTTATGAACCTTCGTGCTATATAGTTACGGTTTTAATTCATTTGCCTCTTTTTTAATTTTGCGAAACGTCTAAAGCTTTATTATTAACGATTTGGTCAGACTGACTGGCACGGCGTATTCAATGTAATATAAATTGTCATGTTTATTTACGATAGCACAAAAAATAAATATTGTATTCTACCACATAAATGATAGTACTTTTATACTGATAATTAGAGCAATTCGTGCAAAATTATTCCCTAACTATTCCAAAATATCAAAAATGCTCAACGTTAATATTCAAGTTTTCACATCTGCCGGCACTCCCGTAGTGCAACCCGTCGTTTTCTTTACTGACGTTCGTAATACTTTACCATTATGAATGAATTGCAATTTGTGTGTTTGTTTAAAGAACTAGTCGGTTATGAATTGTCAACTTTATTATATGGCATATAACACAATTTGAATTATTTTTAGGAGCAATAGAAAGCGAGAATAATCCGAAGTTGACTGTTCTCGGTAAGAAAATGACCGCGTTCCCAATAGATCCGAAATATTCAAAAGTTATTTTGAGCGCTCCTGAACATGGGTGTTTGGATGAGGTTAGTTTTTACCTGTAGTATATATAATTATTAATGATAATTTAAATTATTCTATGGGAATTTGTTACATTGATTTATATTGAATTAGTGATTTTAAAATATGTCTTATTTGCTCGAATATATATTTTAAGAATTTTAACCACAATATTTTTAAATATTAAAATTACACTTCCGCATTTCGTTTCCCACTTGGTAATTTAAAAAGTCAATGTGTATTTTTTTACGTTTTTCCAGGCGTTGAGTCTCGTTGCGGTAATGTCCAGTGAGAATGTTTTTCATACACCACTGCACAAGCGAGAGGAAGCTGTGAAAGCGAAACAGAAGTTTGTATCGACACTCGGCGATCATATAACTCTTTTGAATGTATTCAAAATGTTTTGCAAAGCTCCTCTTAAAAAAGTAAGTTAGTTTTTAGTAGTTAATTGTATTTTGAAACCTGGCAATTATTATTATTATTATTTTTTTAAATTATTTAGAAGATTAGCTTTAGACTTTCGTTCAGTAATTGTATAGTTCTATATTGTTACTTGTATTCTTTTTGTAATTTTTATACATTACCACGTGAATATAAGCTATACGTAGTGTTAATAAATAAATTATCAAACAACATAAAAAATTAAAATAATCTATGCTCTGATTTTTAATTCCGTAGAATTCTGACAGCTTTAATTTTTTGACTTGTCAGTGATGGCAAACGCTTTTGGCCGGGCAGATTTTTCAATTTCAACACGAGTCTGAACATCTGAGTCTATACATACATTTTATTTTTAGTTAATGTATCCATTTCATTAAGTGCGGTGCTCCACATTAAAAAGTGGTTTAACAGCGAGTGGTAATTACGTTCCATCACAAACAGTAAAGATAACATTTAATTTGTTTAAAAAGGTTTACTAAACGTGGAATTAGTAGGCAGTGATGCCGGCTAAAGAGTAAAATAAAGCAATTAAATTTTATTTGATATATTGTTCGTGATATTGAAATATTTGTTATTTTTGTATTAGGTCACTTGAGTAAGTAAATATTTAGATTAACTTTTTTTTATTGCCCTCAAATAAGTCGAATTTGTCCCTTTTTCGGTGGAGAACTTTTTAGTAGCAACACTTATGAAATGTCAGAATTCTACGGAATAAAAAATCACAGTATAATATGTTTTTATTATGACGAATTAGTGAACATAACTCGTTTATTCATCACAGCACAGAATCATCTATCTCTTATCATATCTACGAACTTTTTTGTGGGTTACGAACTTGACCTTTTTCAAATATCCTAAGGAGATCAACAAATTTTAAATTACTGGTATATATGTTACAGCAATGGTGTAAAGAAAATTACTTAAATCATAAGAATTTGTCGTACGCTTGTGATATTCGCCATCAATTGTTAGCAATTTGTCAAAAGTTGAATATGGAAGTTTCGAGTTGCGGAACAGCTTTTGATCAGGTAATAATTTAATTTATAGCCCAAATTTCATAATCGATTCTAATGGCCCTAGGTGTTTCTAATCCATTATATTTGTAGAAACTTTTATTGCATTTGAAAAGCCACCAAAGGACAGATTTTTACCAAAAAATTGTTAGTGTTATCACTTTGGAATTCGGACTAAACGCCCCATCTTTTCATGTCACTCGCCAGTTAAAAAACTCGAGACATAGAATTTATTTTTTAAGTGGATTATGTTGTACAAAATATATTTTCATAGAATTGTACTAAATATTGTATACTTTGCAAATTTTTCTTTCAGTTATTAAAATGCCTTCTAAGCGGTTTATTCACAAACTGCGCATGGACTCGTGGGGGTATGACAACAGGGGCGGGAAAGTATGCGACGGCGTCAGGCGCAGCGGCGGCCTTACATCCCGCTTCTTCACTACACGGTTTGAGGCCGCCGCCGCCTGCAGTACTTTATACCGAACTATTACACACGCGTAGAGCCTACCTCCTTACTGTATCGGCTATAGAACCTCATTGGTTGCATCAAGTCGCACCGGAGTACGCAAGACGCTGTCGCGCTAACCGGTGACAGTTGACGTTGACATTAATGAGCGCGGGAATAAATTTTGACAAATACAACGCTAAAAGATGTTTGCAGAAGTTATTGCCGATCCTTTTAATTCTTTAAATTACTGACAAGGAAACATTATTTGACGTGTTAAAATTGTGTTTTAAATTTTTTATAAAATTTCTAAATTGTTACGTGATTGTATAATAAACGTCATTACAACGTCCATTGATTTATCACTTGTCACTTGAAATTACATTTTTTGACGTAAACATTATTTTGGGTCATGTAGCTCTAGTATATATAAACATGTATTTCTAATATATATATTTATAATAATATCAGTTACCTTAAAGTTATTATAAAAATGAAGTTTTTATTTTATTTAAGTGCTACATTTTTACAAAAAGCCCGTATGTATGAGTTTCAGTTAATGAAAAAATATTGTTTTTAGAAACTTAATACTCCCAATTTCATTTTATACAATTAAACTGCGATCGTGAGAAAAATAATAAGATTATTTCCCATCTAACAATTACCCGAATGTAACAAAGTTATAAATATACTAATTTTAGTAAGTTGTAAATTGTTTATATTTGTACTTGTATTTTATTAATAAATTTTTATAAGTTTATGTGTTTTGACGCGTAAGTTATTAATTCCATTTTAATGTCAGTCTATAAAAGTTGATGCAAAAATATTAAAAATGTTGAATAAGTGTTTCGGGACTTAAAACATTTTGAGCAGAGCCAGCGAAGGAGAACGTTTCTTGGAAGTAATGTAAAAAATGTATAGAATTTATTGGACTTTGTTTTTATAATGTAAGAAAACAATGTTATATTATTTTTCTATAAAACAATTGCAATGTTAAGTATAAAATGATGTAATTTCATTTAAGGTAACTAGGAAAGCGTTGAATAAACATATTATATTAAGTTCTTAGTGTTTTATTTGAACTTTGTTTATAACTAGTTCGTTTATTATTACCAACCTATGGCCAATGCCTCCTTTGAGGAGTCCGGTCTCTTAAGCTCTCTTTTTTGGATCCAACTCGAAACTAGATGTATAGAGGAATTTATCACCGCCGTTAATTGCATTGTGATATTTCCTACCATACGTACACTCTTCATTTTGTCAGTTCATCGATAAAACTAAGGGTACGATGCTAAAAATAATAGCTTAAATATAGACAAGCAGAGAGTTGAATTTTATCATTAGATATATTTGAAGGTTTATTGCGGTAATACTTTCTAAAAGAAGCTAAATAGCTAAATGCTTTTGCAAGTCTACTAGCTAACTAGCTACATAGTACGCGAATGTTTTATGTGATAAGATTGCAAATAAAATGTGTTTAACAAATCTTACAACGCGCCGTCGAATACCCAAACCCTCTCCGAGTCAGCATAGAAATTCGTTTACAAGCTAAAAGCTTTCCATTTGCACGGTAAAACGTAGGTACCCGTGTTAGTGCAAAGCTGAATATATTGCACCGACTTGCGTCTACTACGTGCTACTTTAAATAAAAGTAACATTTTAATTCTTAAACTTACGATAGGTCTAATTAATATATCTAATTGGCAAAATCACTTTATAAAAATCCTCGTGCTATTTTTTTGTGGCACAGGAGGCAAGTGAGCAGGCGGGTTAGTTTGAATAAGGACCTAACCGCCGCCCATGGAGACCTGCAACTCCGACCGAGCCGGCAACTTTACTGGCGCCACGTTCCATAAAGAGGTGGTGCACGACAGGAAGTGCCTTAAAAAGTGTTTAATGTCATTATAATATATAGGTCTAGCCATGGAACAGCGGCATATTTATCAAAATATGGATTATGTAAAACTCTATTCTTTTAAAATTACTTTTTTAGTTTTTAGTACGAAGTTGAAGTCCCGCCCGCTGTTAGGCATGGTTCAGACAGATTCTGTGATAGAAGTGATAGAGGGTGTCCACCCCAAATAATTTTATATATATATATATATATATATTTGTTTTTATTTGTTTTATGATACAACATACAACAATACATACAACCCCTAACTTTCACCTCTCAACGATCAACCACATTTTTTTATTATAGTAGATAGTTATTTTTATTGAGATAAAAAAATGTTTCCTAGAAATTATAAACATTGCAAAACAACGTTTGCTGGGTCAGCTAGTAGATATATAATCTAGTGCTTACCCGAAACAATTTTTGATTCGCTTAAAATAAAATCTGTGACACCTGCATTACGACCTGTGCGTAGAAGTCGAAGTCATAAAAGTGGTCGCGTATCATTACGGGACTGAATATTTTAGTAGACATGAAATAGCAGATGTATTTTTTACCCATAAAAAACTGATTTTATGTGTACATTGAGTGGACTTTAAGGTAAGACTTGAAACCATGGAAAAGTATTAAGTTAACGTAAATATACAAACGTTTATGTAAATACAATTTGCATTTCTTCGACGAGAAAATTATGCTAATTTATTAAAGAACCTTTGAATAGTCAAATCTCAAGGGGTATATCTACTTATGCAGAATTGTTGCCCAATCACGCGAATAATGCGGGCTTTTGTTAAGTAGCCTCCCTTTCTAACAAACTTGAATCAAGTTTTATTGGGTTACAAGTGTTTCTGTTTCAATACATTGTATCAATATTTCTTCTAAAGGATTACATTACAGTGTATACCGGACAAATTTTTAGAGCTTTTGACTATATTAGTTAGATGTCACAAGTATAATAAATTCTGACAGTGTTAAATTGTATTTAGCCTTTTGTTTGTGAAGAGTATTTATCGAGTTCGTGTCAATTTGTATATATAAATGTGACAAGATATTCTTGAATTAGTTAATATACTTTATGCATATGAGTGTGCTTAAAGAAAAATCCCTTTAATCTATGCAAAACAATCTACTATTTGTCAATGAAATAACACATCTGTGATTACATTAACAAAAGTTCTGGGTATGTGCATGGGGCCTACCATACGCTTTATTAAAATAATCTAGTTAAGATCCTGATGAGTTAAGGTTCCTAAATTCAATTGCATTTTTTCTTGCTATGACCTCCTATAAACTGAAAAGTATTGGAATAGCATGACCGAATGAAATTACGATAATTTTGTTTGTGTGTAATTTAATTGTCAAACAGGCTTACATATTATGATTATATAATCATAAATAAAATCCAAAATTATTATGAATAATTCATCATCATAATATGCTTTTATGTTTTTAGTATATGCATATATAATTATTTAATAATAAACATTTTTTTTTGATATATTTTAAACGTAAAGTTTTCTAGTGCACTTAAGTTGATACTTACATTTTTAAACGTTTCCGTCAAGTTTTGATAGGAGCTATCAATGTTTTATTGTTTAAATGATGGGGTAAGTAGTGATACAAAAATTGTCTTCCAAAAATGAATACCTATATCGAAGTGAATTCTCTATATAAAACCCTTTGCAAAAGTTATTACAAAACAACTTTTAACTCGTTAATCTAAGTGAATTTAATATAATATAAATTCCTTTTAATTGTACAAAGTTAGATTGTACCCTACCTTATTGATATAATATGAATAATTTTAATTTCTTTACAGCCTGACAAACTCCCTGAATTGATATGTCTCTCAAGGCGAAGTTGAATTAGCGAAGAAGCGCCCCAATGAAATATATGAATATAAGCTTATACCCAATTGAACATTGCCTGAAGACAGACATTCCTAACTAAATAAATATTGTTATTAGAATATTTTCAAATGGCTTATTTTTTCATACCTATTATAAATTTGAAAAATACCTTTGTTTAGTTAAAGAAGAAAAACATCAGCGGAGAATAATACAATTCATGAACATAATAAGGAAACTTTTAACTATAATAAATAGTAGTGATATTCTCACTTATTGCAAAATGAAGAATCAGCCGGGGTGTCTATTTTACCTATAGGTACTATACTGATTCCTAAATAAGGTTTAGGTGTGTAATTCATTATGCTCAATTTTTATACAACTATCGTTGAAGAAGTCGCAAGAAAGTCTCTTAATTTGGTCCACGAAATCAACGCGGGAAACGGGCTTAAAATAATATATAATACTAGCAGACTCGGCCAAGCGTTGCTGTGGCTAAGGTTTTTGTTATATCACATAGTGGTAAACTATTCGAGGGAAACGGTAGGAGAACGCCAGTCTTCACCACCATGCGTTTTTGGTGGTTATGCCATTAAATTGTAGCTTATATGAAACGTTGGTACTTTCAACACAGCGCCATCTGTTAGAATTGTGACTAAATAATAAACAAATATTTTGCAATAAAATAATATTGCGGGTATAAATTGAGATGTAAGCTATCCTATCTTTTAAGTTAGATCAAACCGTACACGGTGTGCAAATTTTACTGAAATCGGTTCAGTAGTTTAGGAGTCCATAGCGGACAAACAACGTGACACATAATTTATATATATTAAGATTTTAAGTAATTGTTTTATTGTTTTTGTTATACAACCTACATGCCTAATTTCTTAATTGAATATTATTGAATATTGTAGGTACATTGAAATCTTTTACCAATCAAAGTCGTTGGACTATAGCAAATTTAGTACAACAAAGTCAGTAGAAGAGGATTGTCGTCTTGTTTCTTATCTCCGCCGAGCGTCGATCCAAAATAAAGCTCTTCGATATCTGAAATATAAAATTTTTAAAGGTGTAGTAGACAGTGTGTGATATTCTTAATCGTACTTTTAGAACTAGTTTTAATTAAAGTATTGAATTCTATATGTTCTAAACTAGTATTTGGTCACTTCTATAGAAAAAAGCTTAACAAAAAGTATTTTTTTTTAAATCGCTTATATTCTGTCATAGTTTGAATTCGAAACTGTCGAATTTTGGTCGAGTCGCGATGACATGGTACGAATTTTCATACTAACTGAATGAACGAAATCTGTTAACCGCTAAGGTCACGTGGAAACATAAACTGGCGGCTTTATCCGACGTCATGGTATGAATAAGCAATGCATCGCAGTTGTAGGTTGTCA